TACAAAATGTAAATTCAACATATTCTGTCAGACATTTTTCTTTTGTCACATTTCTGAATATCATTGCATTTTCTACGGCGAAAATGCATTCAAGTTGTTTTTATTGATAAAGTAAATTGTTCTCTCTCTTTCTCTTTCTCTTCCTCTAATTTTTATTAGCCACTTGTAATAAAAAAAAAATTCGATGCAATATTTCTTTTAAATAACAAGATAAGAAAAGATCTAGTTGTAGGATGACTAAATATGTAGAAGTAATTTTCATACATAGTTACACAGGTCAGTTTTTTCTCATTTTTCCTATTCGATTAATAATAGTATTGAAGATAGTTCCTGGAAAGCCTCTTGTGTTTGACATATTGAACTAGCCGTTTCTTCTTTTCTGTTGCATAATAGTTATTCATATTCGCTATCGTCAGATTGCTTTAAATTCACTTCGAACAAATATCATATAATCAAAATTTCTAATATTGCTGAAGATTATATCGTGAAAGTTTTATATCACGACTGATGCCGTCCTGGAGTAATGACGGTTGTGAAAACTAATAGCATAAAGTGCCGTTCAATCCACTGTATGTGTTTTCTTTGTATCAAAAACGTTAAGACTGTATTCTTCATCTTTAACGATGGTAAAGCATGATAAAAAGTGTTGTAATTAAATATTAACTTCAAGTAAAGAAAAAGTCTTCTACTAAATTAGCTTTTTCTAACACTTTGTATTTCCCTTTTCCTCTCATATTTAAGATAGTGTAAAGTCGAACTATACGTTACTTCAAATCAATGATAATATAGAAATTGTATTTTTAAGATGTCCAGATTAATCTTCTTTTTATTATTGTCAAAACAGGAAAAGTAACATAATTATATAATTGGCTGTCCAAACATTAAACTTGCAAACGTGTGTAAAATAAAGACTTGCCATCTACAATAATAAATAACAAGTATAGATGGCTATTTTTTCTTTCTTTTATAGTATTCAACTTTTTCGAAACATGTCATACATAAAACTGCTGTTCTTATTTGTCATTATGACCGATTCTGTCTTTCAAAATACACAGGCATCCCTGCTGTGGAATGTCGTTAATATTAAATATCAATGCAACTATCCGGGTTGTTCATCTTTGGCAACTGTTTCTGCATCAAATTTAGAAAATTGTCAAATGGGTTGTGCCACCAATACAGCATGTCGTACAGTTACTTTTGATGCAACGAGTAATCAGTGTCAATTGCATTCTGATATTCCAAATCAAAGTTGTAAACAGTTATCTCAAGCAGTTACAACTATAACCACCATTGATAACGAAGAATCGTCTGCTCGTAAGTAGGAGAACAACATATAATGTTTCACAGGATGAATGTCTACCATTTACCCCGAATCGACTTACCCCACATTTATCCCCAAATTGAATCCCCAGTTTGGTCACCAGTCTTTTACACGGTCACCAAGATGAGAATAAATTTGGGGTAAGTCAATTCGGAGTAAATGACAACATACCCACAGAGGATATATAATGAACAGGTACTTAAGTTCGCGACACTGTCCTAACCGAAGTACAGCATTGAAACATGCACAATCTGATTTGTTTTCTAATTGTTATGATAATGACACAAGAGTCTTTTTGTTACTGTTGCTGACCATTTATCTTAATAAATTCTCTTTTTTAACGTCTGCTATTGGACACGAACATTCATAGAACGACACATACAGTAGATGTCTCCTAAATTCATTAATTGTTCGCGTCAGACATGGATATAATCCATCAGCTGTAGTCCTACTATGCTTCCCATCTTGAGGGTGAGGATGTGAGAGTATGGGTGGCGATAAAGATAAAATGCTCATCCACATCTACACTCACACTCTTCTATATACGTGTGTTATACATTGATTTTAAGCAGAATTGAATAGGCTGTCATCTCCACACTTCTGATATAAGAACCTTCATATCTTAATCAGCACCAGAGCTCAGTGAGACATACTTAGGAAACAAAGTTCCAAAAAATTTTACATTTATTTTTCGAGACCTTACCAGTCCTTCGAAACCTACAAATTCAGCTTTTATGAATACTTTCAAAGATTGTATCCTGCTGCATTAAGTCAAGAACTGTTTACGATTCATTTTGATGCTCATGTATTTTATAAGGAAATCAAACTTTCCTGAGGAGAGAAAATTTTGCAAAATTCGAAAGCTTTTCCTGGCAATGACTTTTTAGATCTAGTGTTGACAGTTGTTTTAGAGAGACAATTCTTTATGCGCTATCCAATAACCGGACCGAAGTTTTTGGAAAATATTCATAACGAATTAAATACGGCTTTTAGGAGGCGGATTCTTGTTAAAAACCGATATTTTAGTGGTTCCTGCATGAGTTAGTGCCTGATCCGAAGTAAAACTGAGTGTCAATGCTGAGGTAACTTGCGAGGGCTACAAAACTAGCATAGTTCAAAGTTGCCGGTACAATGTCAAAGTATATCTGGGCAAATTTGCGTGGAAGGCCCCACAAGTAATTCACGATTAAGCTATAAGAAAAGAAGAATTTACGTACAAAATAAAGAAAAAACACAGTAGCTCAAGTCATGATGTCTCTAAGCCCATTTGTTTCAATTAGTCTGATAAAAAGTATTACAGTGAAACCCCTCTACACTGAACATCTGTGGGACTTTTCAAAATCGTTCACATTAGCAAGGTGATCATTTACAAGGGGTGTCATACAAAATGCAAGGGAACTTTAAAGTTGCGAAATCAACTATTCTGTTTTCAATAGTACAATTACGACTTAGTTAGTTTGAGTTGTTTTATTTATTCTCATGAAAAAAGTAATCTCTTTGTGTTTTCGAAAACTCACACTGAATCCAGTGAGTATTAGCTGCGAACATTATCCGAAGATATCGATTTGTATATCCATAGTTTCAATTCAGAACAATGCATACACTTATACATCAAGAGAAATGGCAACATATCCCCAAGCTTTCGATGTGAGAAATTAGTATGTTGATATCTTGAATAAAGTTTCTTTTTTCTTCTAAGATGAGATTATAGTGACACGATGAGTTCAGTAAGATGCCAAACAAAAACGACGACAGACATAACACAATATGATTAGTTTATTCGAATTTCAGTCGTCTATTTGATATAAATTAGCGGTCAGCTGTATTCTTTTCAGTCTAGTCAAAATGTGATGAATAAATACTTCGGAGAAGAGAGATGACAGACGAGAAAATTCATCTTCTCAACTCTCCAACTATTTCTCTGTTGATCAGGATGCCATAACGAATCAATGATATAGGAGAAAATGTCTGTCGATAGATGGCGCGAGACACGAATGTTCATATTGAAGAGGTTATAAACGCAGTTGGGACTGGGGAGTGTTCAGTATAACAGGTGATCATTAAGGAGAGGTGTTCACTAAGAGGGGTTTTACTGTATTACAGATATTGTAGAGGAAAGAATGATAGGCACACTCTCTGGATTTAGTCTTACATGATTCTCATCCGTTCGAAACTACCAATAAAGACAGTGATAGTTGGTTCACAAGATTAATTATTATAAAAGACTTGTCCAACTTTTTCTGTTATTTTTCTAAATAGAATCGGCAACCACAAGCACGCCATCGGCATCAACATCAACGTCAAGCGTCACAAGCACGCCATCAGCATCAACATCAAGATCAACAACAAGCACCTCATCAACGTCGACATCAACATCAACCACAAGCACCTCGTCGACATCAACATCAACCACAAGCACCTCGTCGACATCAACATCAACCACAAGCACCTCGTCGACATCAACATCAACCACAAGCACCTCATCAACAACAAGCACTTCATCGACATCAACGTCTACCACTACAACAACAGAATCAACGACCACAAGTACCTCATCAACTTCAGCTACTACCACTACCGCACCAATCGGTAATTAAAAAGTTTAATAATTAGTGATGCATACAGTGTTTTAGAAAAGAAGTATAGCTTCTTTTAATTACAGAGAAGAAGCTTTTGAATATAATGCCATACACTGAGCTAAGTTAAAGAAATACTTCAAAAACCAAAAGAGCGACTGTTTCGAGAAATGAGTTCATTGTCGCGCTCCGCATTCGTGGGTATGGTCAATCAACTGTAGATTGAGTGTTTTATTAGTATCGATCGACAGATAATTCCACTTAGATTCTGTTTTTTTTGGATGAAAATTACGAGGTCTGTATGTTCGAGTTCTTTTGTTAGCTGAACTTAACGAGTTTGTTATTCTTTATGGATTGATCAAGACTTACGACGAGGCATAAGCTGTTTTCAAAATGCTTTTTATACAGATGTATTTGAACAGACGACCCTTCGTAGATGCTAAGCGCCGAGTGGTGCCACTGACTGCATCACTTTTCTTTCACTTTCTATGTTTCAATGACGAAAAGCGCTGTCGTTCTACCCAAAAACACTGGAGATAAAAGCATATCGGTTTTCACCAGATGAATAGCTAATAGACGTTTCTTCCATCGATATTAGTTCTATATAAAACACTCAATCAAAACAAACGAACTATTTGATACAAACCTGAATTTTAATTGTGGATAATACTACAATAATTCGTTAAATGTTTGAAACTATGCTGCACAGCATAATGTGCTACAGACTCTCCTTTGATATAAAACTAGACACTTTATATGTGACTGCCTAGGTAGAAAAACTGGAAAAATCGCATTTTTCTTGGAAACGCTTTACAAAACGTTAACAGCATGCATTTCAATACACAAAAATAAGCTTCCTTCTAAGTTTGACTTGCTAGGGAACTCGTGTGCCGCATTAAATGGATGCTTTTGTGAAACACGATCTGAAAGAGAGTGTTGAAGTGTGTAGGGGCAGAAATTTGGACGCCCTCTCCACGGATGTTACAGACATGTCTAAAAACCAAGTCAAAAATAGGCCGAAAATCGCATCACAGACAGGCCCAAAAACCAGTCAAAAACCCTGTCGCAAACCGTTACCGTTTGGACTTGACTATTATTGACTGTTTTCTGTAAACCCTCCGCGTATGTTCTCATTTTGCGCCTACTTTCAACGTCTAGGAATTCTTTGAAGAAACTGCAATTTGATGGGAAGTCCAGTCTTTCTTGTCTCAGCTCGACATGAAGTTACTGAAAATAGTGCAACTGGAAAGAAATTATAGTCCTGTGAAAGTAAAACAAATAGGATGTGGGTCCGCTCGGACCCTACAACATCTACCGAGAGTAAAAGGGTGCACCTAAAAAATGAAGAGAGAGAAGTTGTTATGTGAAAAGGTAAATAAACTGTGTATCATTGTCTCACAGACAGAGTCGCACTCAACTTCGTTATGTCGACCCGCGTAGATCTCGTCACAGATCGTGATCGGTTAACGGAAGCACAATAAGAAGCATCACATATTGTGACCGATGCAGAGAAAATTTTTTAAAAGACAGTGGACATCACTATTGAAAATATGTTATTTTAAACAGCTTAAGTTTAAATAAATAGGAATGCAAACTGGGAAATAAATTGACCATTCTATGTGTTGAATGTTTCTCCAGCTGGATCGTGTTTCACATTTTTAATCCTGTTAGGGATTGCGCTGAAAGCTTTTTATACCTCTATCTGCTATATAGGATGGAGGATGACAGGAAGTATGAATGCTGGAAGACAATGGCCTGTTGCTGTCGTATTAAGTAATGGAAAAATATTAGTTGCCGGTGGATACAATGGTACAAATTATCTATCAATTACCGAGCTGTATGATCCATCTACTGGTACTTGGGCGACTACAGGAAGTATGAATACCGTGCGATCCTATCATACAGGACCCTTATTAACCAATGGAAATGTACTAGTTGTCGGCGGGCATAACGGATCTGCATATCTCACAAGTGCGGAGCTGTATAATGTATCATCAGGTACTTGGGCTACTACAGGAAATATGAATACTGCACGACAGTATCATAGAGAAATATTATTAACCAATGGAAAAGTGCTAGTAGCCGGCGGAACAAATTCGGCTGCATTGAGTAGTGCTGAATTATATGATCCGTCAACGGGTACTTGGACAACCACAACAAGTATGAGTACAGTTCGGGTCAGTGCTACAGCTACTGTATTAACCAATGGAAAAGTCCTATTTACTGGAGGATCCAATGGTGGCAGTACGGTCAGCAATACCGCCGAAATGTATGATCCATCATCAGGTCTTTGGGGAACTACAGGAACCATGAGTGTTGGCCGAATATCACACACTGCATGTATGTTAGCAAATGGAAAAGTATTAGTAACTGGAGGATATAGTGGATCTGGATATCTCGCAAGCGCCGAATTATATGATCCATCAACAGGTACTTGGGCAACTACAGGAAGTATGAGTTTTACACGCGAAGCCGTTACAAGCGCTCTACTAATCAATGGAAAAGTCTTAGTTACTGGTGGATGGAATGGTGCGAGCTTAAGCATTTCAGAACTATATGATCCATCATCAGGTATATGGACAACAACGGCAAGTATGAACGCGTCTCGAAATCTATATATAATATCTAAGACGCCAAATGGAGTCATGTTGGTAGCAGGCGGTTCCAATTCTGTAAACACGGCTGAGTTGTACTATCCATCACCTAGTATTTGGGCGATTTTGGGAAGCATGAATGCTGAACGACAACAACACAGAACAGTCGTTTTAAGTGATGGAAGAGTATTAGTAACCGGCGGGCACAATGGTCACAATTATTTATCCAGTGCTGAACTATATGACGCATCCACAGGTGTTTGGACAACTACAGCAAGTATGAGTAGCGCGCGATACTATCATACAGTAACCTTATTAACCAATGGAAATGTACTAGTTGTCGGCGGGCATAACGGATCTGCATATCTCACAAGTGCGGAGCTGTATAATGTATCATCAGGTACTTGGGCACTTACAGGAAACATGAATGCTGCACGGCAAGCTCATACAGCAACTCTATTAACAAATGGAAAAGTATTAGTTACCGGTGGACTAAATCCAAATGCAACAAACAGCGCTGAATTATATGATCCATCAACGGGTACTTGGACAACCACAGGAAATATGAATACAGCTAGGCAATATCATACAGCCACTCTATTAACTGATGGAACAGTCTTAGTTACTGGTGGATATAACGGATCTGGATATCTCTCAAGCACCGAATTATATAATCCATCATCAGGTACTTGGACAACTACAAAAAATATGAATATAGTTAGGCAATATCATACAGCCACTCTTTTAACCAATGGAAAAGTCTTGGTTGCTGGAGGATATAGTGGATCTGCATATCTCGCAAGCGCCGAATTATATGATCCATCAACAGGTAATTGGACAACTACAGGAAGTATGAGTTCTACACGCAATTATTTTGAAACTACTGTATTAATCAATGGAAAAGTCTTAGTTACTGGTGGATGGAATGGTGTGAGCTTAAACATTTCAGAACTGTATGATCCATCATCAGGTATATGGACAACAACGACAAGTATGAACGCGGCTCGATCTTCTCATACAACAACTGTATTGATGAATGGAAATATATTAGTAGCTGGTGGATATGTTGACAGCATTTATCTCAATACTGCTGAACTGTATCTATCAACTTAAATAAGATAAGCAATGCGTTCGGTATATCGGACATGAAAATTTAAGCTTCATGATTATTTTATTCATGTATCTTGACAAACATATAAATCTTTTACTAATATAAGCCATGTTCCCGTTTTGCTCGAAAGCCACCAGTCAGCAGAATAAGCGGCTAGGGAAAGAGACAATAATGTCGCTAAAGAGCGCTTTCCTCTTTTGATCTGTATCTCTCTTCGCTGTCCTATCTCTACCCTCCAAAAGAGAAGCCGTTCACCATCCATTTCATCACACCTCTCTTTTAGTCTACTCCCTCCTTTGATCTCTTTCGTGTCGTAGCACTGGGCGTACGCAATCAACGCTCGAATATGCTCACTATCCATCTCAAGCTGCTTGAACAAATCGTCGAAACAGATTCAATGCACGACGTGAACCACTGCCACCCTAGCAAACACGACTACACAATTAATGATTGGAACAGATGTATTTCAATTACAAATTTCTGCTATAGAGATTATTTGAATAAAAAAGAATGATCAACACTTTTTCTTCGCTGCTGATGACAGGTATTTAAAGTAAAAGATAGTCAATTTTTGTTTAATACTGCACCAGGGCGCTTCATTGGGCGTCAGCCTTTGAATGTGTACATCTTTTCCCTTTAATATGCAAATATCAATCCATGACAAATCTAGTATACTCAAGAGTGCAATGAGCTCGTAGTAATATGGATTATCGACGCGAAGCTGAAGCTTGTCGTGATTTCGTTCAAGACAGAAGTTTTCTCGTGCTGCACTCAGTTGATCCCAAGTTGTATCGACGTCAGCATAAATGCACTTGCACTCTAGGATTCCGTATGACGGGTAGTGGCGTAACCAGGTGGTAGCCAGGGGAGACTCAGCCTGTTCACTGAAGGTTTGAGCCTGCCCAACGGAAATTCGGATTGCTTCACCACATGCTATATGATATTTCATACGACAAGGAAGTTTTGTTAAAATAACCTGAAAGGAAAGACAAAGCAAGTTGCCACACACAAATTCTTCCAAAGATTTTTTCTCTTTTCTATCCTATAATTGATTCGATATTGTTGAAGGTGAATGATCGCTTTTCTGATGACAATACTCTTATTCTGAATGGCATATCTGCGCTGTGTCCGGAGAGTAATAATTTTCTTCACATCGAATCGATTCAACCATTGGGAACACAAATGAATGTTGATTTTCCAGCTTTGTGCAACAAGATACAGGTTCTGAAGCCTGTGTTGAAAGATAAAACAATGGACAACATTGTTGATTTATACATCGAGTTATTACCTTTAAAACCAATTTTTCCTGAGCTGACAGTGCTTCTTCTCGTTGCAATAACAATTCCTACCCCTTCTACGATGTGTGAACGAATATTCAGCAAGATGAAGCTAATTTAGGCAAAAACATGGAATAGTGTGTCGGATATGAGACCGAGTGATTTGTGCGTTTTTGTCGTTACGCGTGATTTTGTAGTGGGTATTGAAAAGGTAATTGATCATTTTACTGAAAAGCACAAAAATAGTCGAAATTTTGTTGAAGTAGAGCTACACAGTGATGTACATCTTAACTAGGTTTATAATAAACGAATAGCATAGCTTTTCTTCATGATCAAGATTTACACCCTTTGTACCTCCAGCACATGTTAATTTTACACTAAACAAATTTAGAAAGATAGGAGCGCGTGAGGCTGAGTCTGCCCACCGCCAATTTTCTGGTTACGCCACTAATATAGCGTATTGTTTACAACACTTTGGATCAACTGTTACTTCTACATCACATTTACGATCAGCTCTCTGATACGAAAAAAATTAAATACTAATAACTATTAGATAATTCAATCGGTACTAAGAAATCTTTAAGATCAGTGAAGTGATCAACAATAGTTAATGATTTTAAATGTTTTTTTTAATGTATTGATATCATTAAAAATCAGTAAATAAATGTTGTCAATTACTTTCCTGCATGAATACGAAACTTATGTAATTATATTAAAGAGAACAAGAAAACTGCTTTAGATCGCCATCTATTGTTCACATACAACTACCTATCATACCCCTACTTCGATTAAATGAATCATTCATTTCTATCAGACACTCAGTAAGTTGCACAATCAAACTGCACAATGAGAAAGACTACTGAAATAAAAATCAATAGAAAGAACCAGCATTTAGGAAAATAAATAGTTTACGGAATCGAGCAACAATGATATCTAGGAACAAATCAACTCATTTTATTGTAGAAATATGTGTAGTTTGTGAGATTTGTCAGTCGTATCAATCTCTGGGTGGACTAGTACAAGATTTACTTTCATTTCAGATAACTGATGAGTGGAGAAACAAAAACAAATGACTAACATACGTATTCTTACCTACAACATCTTAGCTGAGGTCTTTGTTAAAAAGCAATACTATCCAAACACGTCATCCAATCTTCTCAACTATCAAAATCGTCGTGAACATACATTACGAGTTATTGAAAATTCGTCCATTGATTTCATTATGTTACAAGAAGCACAAGATCAAGATCGACTACAATTTGAAAAATATCTTTCGTCAAAATATGAATGTTCAACTCTAGGTAAGTTTATACGATGTATTTTATCAATAAAATTATACGAAGTTATTTTTTAAGCTGCAAAATCTGAAATAATCACTGCACGCAGTGCTGGTACTATGTCACTTGTTTCGAAAACATGGACAGGAAAGTATGATATTTTACCGGTTTCATTTGATAATGGTAAAAAATGTCAAGTGATTAATTGTGAAACACCTGATGGAAAACGGTTTTCGATCGTGAATATACATTTAGATTTTAATGTGAAAGAAAAACAATTTGCGATGTTAGAAGAACTCGTATTTAGACGATTTCTAGGACCATTTATTATTGTTGGTGATATGAATGCTACGAGAAAAGAAATGGAAAAAATGTTTGAGAAACATGCAACACTAAAATTTATTAATGCAATTAATGGAGATCCTGATACATATTTTAGCGAAGATGGAAAAGGAACAAGGCAATGCGATCATATATGGATAGAAGAAGGATATTTTCAAGTCAAAAGTATTAATATATCCAACAAAATAACCGATTTAGAAGAATGTTTAAAACAATTTGGTTCTGATCATGCACCAGTTGAAGTCGTAATTAATATTGTTTGATACGATTACACTGAATAATGATATTTGCTTTGATTATAATCAACATAAATCAACTTGTTTTTGAAAAATAATATATATATATTTGTGATCATCTCGATCAGCTCATTTCTAATCTATCTGAAGTTTCATATATGTTGCATGTATAATCTCACATAACAACTAGGTTAAATTTAGTACTAATTATTTACGAACTTACTATATGTTCAGGTCAAGTTTTTTATATTCAAATGTAACTAAAAATTGCGATTGTTTTTTATCTTTGTTTTCGATATTGTTTCATCATATTGCCATTGAAATGGAAAGAAATATTATTTATATTTATAAAGTAAAAATAACTGGAGATAAGAAATCCATGCCATCGGTAGTGATCAAATAGCGCCGTTGTCACGCTCATATAGCAGTCACTTAGTGGCCCTAATCAGATATAGATTTACTATTTGGAAGAATGAGCAAATTTTGACCTTTATCCTTCGATATATTTTGTCATTTACTACACACCGACGCTTACATCTACAGGGTTGGAAATAATATTTTGCCAGGGGGTGGGGGGGGGGGGGTATCGCTACTATTTCTAATAGTACACCTAATGAATCCTATACCAAAAGAAAGCTCCTCAAAAATGGGGTTTACTGATCATAAAAAAGACAGATTATGCAAACTTTTTTTATATCAAAGCGCCGAAATTTAGGGAGAAGTAACTTATGATAGGTTTGAAAAATGTTACTCATTAGATAAAATTCCAACTGAACTTCATACAAAATTTTTTATTTTTCGATGTTGAATCGATATCATCAATAGTCAGCATGACGACCGTTAGCACTCTTCACTGCACGTAAGCGAGATGGGTACGAACACAGAAGAGTTCCGAATAGATCAGTGTTAGTTTCCATGTCTGCCAAACATGTGAGAGGTACATCTTGAGTGTTTCTTCAAGGTAGCGAGAATCTCTTGTTTCTGATAACATTTTCGTTTCCACTTCATCTCTGATGACTGATCCGATATGTTCTGCCACATTGAGGTCAGGTGAGTTTTCCGGCCAAATATCATTACACCAAAATTTAATATCATTTTCTTGAAGCAATTGTTGGGTAGGATATGCTCGCATGCATGCCCAGGTCGAACAATCCCATACTCGGATCCCACCGGATCCCATCGAATCCCATCGGATCCAATACTGAATTTTATCGGATCCTACAGGAATTCGCCGGATCCGATGAAATCCTGGTGACGGAATCGCATTGGATTCCGACGGTCTCGGATCCGATCGGATCCCACGTCGGATCTCGTCGGAACCGAAACATGGATTTTCTGGATTTTCTAAGGGTCAGCATAGAATATAGCTAGAAAGATCGCTCATAAAATTTGCAACAACCGACGGGATTTTTCTAGTCGGATTCCAATGCAATTCCGTTTCCNTTTATAAAGATTCGTACATACTATGCGAAACTCAAAGCCGATCAGTACTGAATACACTGAACCTTTGATAGACATACGAAACCCCGCAGGGGTTTGTATTGAATGTACTGAGCTTTTAAGAATTTACAAACTCGTTATTGGTTTCGACCATTCCACACGAAATCAAGTCTAGTTTAGTTTAAAATGTTCTAAACTTTTCGAAAACTGACGAACCATCGATGCGTCGGCGTGAAATCGTCCAGTCGAAGTATAAGAAACCTTTTAGGTTCGGTGAAACTCCTTCTTTTTTTTTGAGTGTTGGGAAATCAACTCGAATTGCCGCAGCTTGTTTGAACAAATATCGTCCGGTATTGCATGATGCTAACTCTGATCTGCACAAAGCTACCGCGCAACGAATGTTGGATTTATTACATCGTCAAAGTGATTTAGAAAAGTTGATTTCCGATGGTGAACTGTCATTAAGAAAAAAGTGGATTACACTAATGGATATAAACAATAATTTCGACTTTCCTCAACTTGATCTTGACATTCTTCGCGAGTATACCTGTGGAACTTATCAACTAGAACAAAGTGCAGCTTATGCAAAAGCTCATTTATATGAGCATGACAACGAGTTCGAACTCCAAATATCACCTGATGACGATCCTCTCATTCGATGTCGACTACATAGTCGACATTCCAACGCAACTCGTTATTTTATATGCATTGATTATGATAAACATGATATGAATGACCCTATAAAGGACCATTACTGCCAATGTAAGAACGGCAAAAGAATGTTGGGATGTTGCGGGTATGTTGCTACAGTTTTATGGTACCTTGGATACGCTCGTCATATTGGATAAACACCGACAACAAGAACAGACAAATTCAAAGAAAGCATTTTGACATGTTAAATAACTATCGACAACAATAGCTATCTTTTCTTGTTTTTACTAACCAAAAAATGAAATAATGGTGAACTATACATGAGCAATAGATCGTAGAAACAACGAATAAATGTAGAATTTACATATGATAGAAAATACTTGAGGAAAACTCATCACATTTCTACATGTGTTTATGATTAGTATTTGTTGTCCGATGAATATGTGATGAATAGTGGCCTTTTGGCAGCCTTGTACGCCATCTACTAGAAGTAGTTTTCGCGTTAAACACGAATATGCTATTATATTTTCAAGTTAATCTTAATTGAGTAGGTAAAAGCGAAAAAAAGATAAAATCTCTATTAAAAAATTGAGAAAAAATTAGGTAACAGTTATCAATGCATAGCAATTTTTGGAACATTGCGCACACATTGAAGAACTATGAAATAGTGCATTTTGTAGCCTTATCTCAAGGGCAATTTCTGAGAAAGTTTGGGCCGTGGGTAGCTGTTTTTGGCTTAATACGATTTAACACACTAAAATCTATATTTATGCTTTCTTAGCAAAACGGTGTCAAACTTGCCAAAAATCCCTTTTCTTTTCTTTCCAGTATTGAGTCACCAAACGAATTGAATATCTCAGCTTGAAGCTTGTCACAAGTACTATCCAATCGTATATAAAAACTATTTTTATATGAAGTCGTTTGACTCATATCCAAAGCAATATGATTAAGCTAATTACTATCACTTAGGGTCTTACTCACCATGAGTAATTTTCATATAACTTCTTACAAGTATTGCCAAAATTAGGGTTCTTATAGACCAGTNCGACAGGGTCCTTTGTAGATAATTGACCGATTTCGAATTCTTCTCAATATTACGTCGTCTCGTTCACCGGGTGTTTCTCATTGATAAATGGATTGGACTTTCGAGCAGGTGGTTGAATGGTGTGGAACCTTTATCAGTGATGATTCAGTTTTATTACTTAGATGTATGCTATGGTGTTTTTTATGTACTCCAGCCTATAGCGATGTATTGAAGATTCCAGTGTATACATCGCTGAACATTTCTTAGAAATAAATATCTGATGATACAGACATTCACTTGCGTGTTTTTATCTGTTTTCTCATAATTATTTCTTTGATTTTCTGCAGTTAAGGAGATGTGTGCGTTTAAGTACGAAAGGAAAGAAATTACTAGTTTGGAATGCCTGCATTTCGTTGGCTTGTATTGGCCGCTTTTTCTTTGTTTTTTTTTGTCACGTCGTTTAAGAAATAACATATAAATAACTAAACTGAAAAAGCTGCTTATTTGGCTAATGTACATCAACTAAGTAGAATATCTGTCGTGATTTTGAATTTTTCGCGTCGGAATCTCATGGCGTCATTTATTTGTCCACTTTGCGTAACGAGTAGAAATTTCGTAAGTTTCTTCAAACTATTTCGCCACATAACACTCTACCATCAAAGTGATCCAAATTTTGAAATCAAATGTGATTTACATAACACATGCGATGTGTTTTACAAAAAATACTCCGCGTACAAATCCCATGTATATCGAAAACATTCAACGGAACTCCATTCATCAGCAAACCACAACTACAATATTGATACGATCCTCATTGATGATCCACAACTGCACCTAAATTTGTGAATGGAGATGAGCGCAACGAATCCATTGATACAGGTGACGAAACAGATTCAATTTTATCAAATGATGATGATGTGTCATCACATTTCTCAAGCAATCGTAATGAAGAAGTTGTTAGTTCAATACAAGATATTAAAAAGTCATTTGTAATGTTCATTTTACAATTAAGGGAAGAATTCTTGTTACCAAAAAATGTAACAAACGTTATTTTATACTCGGACACGTACGACTGGAGACGGAAACTGTTTATATAGTTCTCTTTCGATATTGAGTGTTGGATCTGAGAAACTAACACATTCGATGAGATTGTTGGCAGTTCATGCAATAGCAACTAATAGGAGCTATTTCCAAAAATTTTGTAACATACTGGGATATACTTTTGAAGAGCAGTTGGAAAGAACTGCCACACATACAATACGGGGAGGAGAAGTGCAAATTCAAGCTTTATCTATCGCACTATCTTGTCCTATATATTCATATATACAGTTTAACAATAATCCTGATCCAAAAAATAGACAGTTTATTCCGTCAAATATTAGTTTACAGGGATTAATCGATCGATTCGAAGAAGGGGCAGCAGGTGGTCATTTAATATATCTTGGATATAAATCCGACAGAAAGAAAATAGGACTTTGTATTTATTATAACAGTAGACATTATGATGCTCTTTTGCCTTTTCAAGCTAATCCTCCTCGGTTTGTACCACATTTCGACTTAATAAACGTGAGTTTAGAATATCGAGAAGGATTCATTGCAGATATAGAGAATCGGTCAACATAGATTTTGCGTTTAATCAAGTAGTTACCTGTGTGGAACTAACTCCTCGCCACGTCCTACGGGACAAAAGGAGGGCATCCGCAGGGCCTAAGGGGTGGCTCATTAGTGCGCTCAAGAATGATTCGTTTCGAGATTTTGATAAGTAAAAGCTCGGTGACATTGATTAAAGCAAAAGATTACCTGGGTGAACCTCACCCAGATCCTACCTTTCCTCCTCTTTCTATCGGTTTCAACTTCATGTTGGGTTTTTCATATGTGTAGAAAATCTGGGAATTTTTTTTGTAAGTTAGTAGTAGTACAACCGATCGGGCTCATCTTCGAACTCGTCTGCGACATTGACAATATACTGCTATGTACTAAATTTCATGACAATTGGATTATTCTTTCAGCAGTTATCGGATTAACCGGCAGACGGACATACTGACCCATACTATAGTGTGCTCACTTTTTGAGTACACAAAAACCAGCATGCAAAGTTTGACAACCTTATCTACCATAGAATCACTTGGATGATAACTCACCGACGCCAACATAATCCATCTACCCTTCCCTATGCCTACAAAAGCAGTACGGAGGGTTTGGCGTAGTCTTGATACGAAGTCGCGTGGGTGAAATTTCACCCAAATCTCACACAGGCCTACCGCTTCACTGGCCAATTAGCATTTTTCTGGATCCAAAGAAACAGTACAGAAGGTTTCGTGGCCATAGCTGATACAAAAAGTAAATGCAAAACGAAAACAAGCGGATAAACACGCAAATCTTCAACTTTTTTTTATATAGGAATTAGAGAAAACTTTACCAATAGTCAGAGAGGGTACAGCCGACCGGGCTCATCTTCGAACTCGTCTTCGACATTGACAATATACTGCTATGTACTAAATTTCATGACAATTGGATTATTCTTTCAGAAGTTATTGGATTAAGGGCCGGACGGACGGACACACTGACCCATTCTATAGTGTACTCACTTTTTGAGTACACAAAAAATGTCATTGCCACTACTTTTGGTATGCCCTAAATATATCTCGTGAAAAATCGTTTTGAAGGATTTTTTCATAGGATTTTGAAAATTTTGCGATGCGGTTTGAAGGGCACATCATTCGTTGTACTTTCAAAAACCCTTTATAGATTTCGTATTCTGATGTTTTCTTTTTACACTGTATGTTTATTTTTGAAAAATGCAATACTAAATTCATCACAATGTTTGGGAGCCATAAGTTTGGTTCATTATTTGGTTACTTGTCTACCATATGAAGAAAAACGGGTTTATATTTTATGGTATTTGCATTAGTTAACACAAAGGAAAAAAACGATCTAAATGAGGTTTTTTACTCTTTTTTTATCTTCTAAAGTGCAGGGAAAGGTGAGTTTATAAAAAAGAAAATTTCGAAAGTCTAGTTTGTGTGTCACTTTTTTGTGCATGAGTCAGTTGAAACGTTGTATTGCACAATCAGCAAAATAATTCGGCAATTGTGTTCTTTCGAAATTCTACTATGTTGAGAAAATAACCTATTCATAACATCATAATATATGGTTCTTTCCATTCGAGTAGCTGCCTAATTCGACTTATAATATAAGTGACCAATTCCTAGCACACTACAATCCCTATCTACAACAGAAATAGAAACAGATTTAGTTTGAGTTATACATACACACCCACACCCCTGTGAGTTTAGAAATAGATTTAGTTTCACTTATACATACACATCTTCACATGCACACCCACCGCGGCACCCTCAATCGAGATAGATATAAGTGAGGGTGTAGGTGTGTATATGTGTTTCATTCTGTCCATGATCACACGCACGTATATAGAGGACGCATGAAGTGGCATAAGAGGTGTGCTCCATCTATCTGTTCTTCATCTGATCTCTGTCTTTCTCTTCTTATTCTAATAAACTATATCCGAACACACAAACGCTTACATACTAAAGGTGTCGGCCTATAGTACATCTCATTAATTTTTGAATAATTTCATCATCTCAAGAGATAGAGTCTTGTGGTTTTTTTAATCGAAAGAGGACACCTATGAGTAGCTTTTCGCAAATAGAACTAGGCTTTGGGCATGTTTTAATAACCAGTTTTTCAGCAATTGTCTGAAAAATCTCACCAATTGTGGAAAGTTGCTTTTAGGCGTCCTCCTTTGATTTCAAAATCGTAGGACTGTACATATTTTCGTCGAAAAGTTGTTTAAAAATTAGTGAGGTGTATTGCACAGGATAGCTCCAAAGTTACGTATCAACAAGAAAATTGAATATCTCTATTACAGCTCGAGGGAAGGAACTGTTTGTTTTTAATTAGTAATAGAGGCATGTATAAGCTTTATATCCATAAAGACATTTCCAGATAGACTCTCTGTTAGTTATATTGTTTTCTATCCTATCTGTGAAAAAATAAAATTTTTCTTGTTGAAATCAATAGTGATACTATTAACTAACGATCTTCCTAGACATGTCTTTATCATTGGTAAAAAATCAGATCCTTTTATTAAAGTTTGAATGAAGATATTCAATTTTCATATTGGTGCAAAACTTTTGCTCCCGTTCCTTTTATTTTATCGATGAAGGTGGACACTTCTATGCTTTTTTAGAATTGTTGATATCTCTCGCTTGAGAATGGCTGAGAACACTGTGGAATCCGACGTAACGCATCAACTTTTCGAAATGTTTTACGAGATTAGAAAGACATTAAGAGAGAATGAAATTCAAGTCCCCCTTGATTTTCCTATCGTCGAAATCGACAATAAACTAAGCTGTGAACTCAATTGTTTGGGATGCACGCAAATTGAAGACGGTATGGTTCGTTGCATTCAAATGCTTCTAAAAAAACCCGGAACGGATGTGTTTTACTCCAAGGAAGCTCTGATCGCAACGCTTCTTCACGAATTTGCACATTGTATTACTTCTCCATCAATCGAAGACCATCATTCGGAGCTTTTTTACTCCAACTTCGAGAAAATTCTCAGGTAAGCTTTGAGAATATTTTCGGCCTACTCTACTGTATCTCAGACACGTTTTTCTTAACAAGCTGATTTAGGATATTGAAATGAAAACATTTTCTCATTCTTCTGTTGGTTCTTAACCAGTCATTATATTTTATCCGTGGAAACCCTATTTTGGGGAAGTCTGTTTCTCGCACCGAAATAAGTTGAAACCCAAATAGTCTAGATTTGTTAGAAAGCGTATGAGTTATTCTATCTATTCAAACATTCAAAAATTATGGTCCAATTTTCAACTTGATTAAAGCCGACATAGCAAATTTCCACAGCGACAACAAGAACGGTGTTCTCCATCAGCACTTGTTCTCTGAATAGTCAAGGATGTAGGCGCAAGTTTTTGCGATGGTGAGGGCATAGATGTGGATGATAGTAAGACAGCGAATCAGTTTCGATTTCGATTGGGATTGATTTGGGCCTCGAAAGCAAATACCGATGAGATCATCTATCTCGAGAATACCTTTCATGGAATATCCCACGACATGGAATTTAGTAAATCTGTCAAAACAACATTCGGCAAACAAAATAACCACTTTAGGATTTCTTCTGATTTTGACGCGGAGAAAAAGAGTCGACAGACTTGTTATGAATTCACCAATGCGTTTATCACTAATCATGCACTTCGCCGGTTCAAAATCACAAACTTTATATAGAATATTATTATTTTCAAGATCAGTGTAAAAGATTGAGCTACTAAAATAAAACTTATGATCTTCGATTTTGAAGAGTTTTATTTTCTAAAAAACACCAATGAATCTCATAAAAAAAGTCTATTTTCTTTATTCCTCCAAATAGAATAGGTGGAAAGTGACGAGGTGGCTCTTTTGGATAGAAAGACTCGCTTTTTCAACTTTACTATAACTCACATTTGATTAACTCCTTATATCCGATCTAATTTAGCAGAGTGACGAACCATATTTTTCGACCTAGATGCATTATGGCTTATGAAGTATCTACAGTTTGTGTCGCTAAAACGAAGCATGTGTCTCGCAAGACAGTAACTCTCGATCTTTCACACAATTATATATTGTTCGGATTTAAAAGTTATATTAACAGAAAGGTGATAGTGGCAAACAATAGAGCCTCCACGAAAGAAGTCTTAAGATTATTTAGGGTTCTTTAGCAAAGTGAAAACTTTTCGTATCAATATTCTGAGCTAGCTCGCCAAAATATTTCACACTATGAATTTGCAAAGGTTCTACAGTTAAAGCTGACATAGACCAGTTTTAGTTCAAAACAAGCACAGACTCGTAACGATTGAAAAATACTTTACGTACGCCGTTTTAAAAAATCTTCATTTCATCGAGTTCTATGTACTGAGAAATCAGCTTGTTAGGCAAATATTGGTTCTACTTTGAACAAAAGACAATATCTCTGAAGTTTTTTTTCTAGAGTCGCCGAACTCCAAGAAATCTTTATTTTGCCTACAAAAGCAAACAAATTCAGTTATCCAAATCTTCGTAGATTCGATGCCATAGATTTAGGTGCTGCTCCTCCTAGTTCTTGTGGCTATTCACCACTGTACAATCCATCTAAGACGAATTTTGATTCACTCAGAATTATCGTCATCGCGCCAGATCACACACAAAAATTGATTATTTTGCCTCATAACGAGAAAAATCTTACGAGTCTCTCTAAAGTGATCAAACAAAAATTTCAGCTTAAACCGAAAACAATAATTCTTCCTGGAGGAGAAAAACTCACAAATGAAACGCTACAGACGCTACCGATCGAATCAACTCTTCACTTTTGTTAATGACTATCAAGAGGGAAAAGCGGATTTTTTCGGATTCTAGAATCCGTAAGAATCTGAGAACTCAAAATCCGTTTTTTCGTCCTTGTAAATGACTTTGAATAACAAATAAAATTCAAATTTCTACCAATTATTTTATTGAAAAAATCAGATGATGTTGATTGACTACATAATTTCTATCATGAAATTCTGCAATATAGAATTCCAGACTGACATCCTCAAGTGTAGTTAATAAAAAATAACTGTTCCAACCAGTACACTTGAAGATTCTATCATTGTATCTATTCATCCTTCGCTTCTTTCTTTCAATCTTTCTTCTTCTTCTTTTTCTGCGATTGTGTTATTTATGAAAGGTAATTCTCTGTATGATATGAGATACAACTGAGGTGTAATATAATGTTGTGAGCACCATCTATACGAAGAATAATGATAACGTTATTTCTTCAGTTTGTCATATAAAGTAAATAAAATGTTGCAACAATAACAGAATATTATTTCGCCTCTCTCTTTGACATCCTCATCGTTATTTTTCCGTTACATTAAGCAGGCAGAATTTATGAGAGGATATTTTACTAAAGCAAAAACGTATACGTTCTTTTTCTTTTTCGGTATATAATGAATGATGCCAGTATGCAAATTTTCTTTAATTAAAAACTGTCGAGAAAGAATTTAATGTGAAAATTGATAAAAACAGCAGGTATTGTTCTTATTGATTAGATAAAAAAGGTGAATAGTGGCAAGGAAAATAATAAAACGACTTGTTGAACAATCATGATTTGATTCGAACCAACAATGTTTATATTCTTACACCAGAACAACGAATTATGATCAAACAATACGGTAGAGAAGTATCGATTCCATTTATAAAACCACCAATTTTGAATTATCATCCATTTTTAACTAATTACATTACATTATCTCCTTTTTCAGAACCTATCATCGAAACTTAATTGCAACAAACAACTATGAGTGATGCACTATTTGAACCAAATCTTCGATTACAACATAAAGCATTATTTATGGCATGTACTCTACTTGACATCAACGAAGGAAAAGTAATGATTGGTATTATCAATGCAACAAATCCGGCTAGTCTCATATTACCGTCGGACTCTTCAAACGAACGCATTCCGAAAGGGAAAATAGCGAATAAAACAACCAACAATACAGATTCAGAAGATTGAAACACGGCAACAGTAGAACGAACTGAATACAACTGTCGAAATTGTTCACAACGGTTTGTAGCTAAGGACAATTTATTTAAACACTGACGTTAACAAATTACCAAGTTAACCGCACATGTCGTCGATGATCATCAGCGAAACCAGATTACAAACATACTATGGAAAAACGGAAATTTATTTGATCTTCGACAAACATCGAAAATCGACATCATTTTGAAAAATGATTTCAGCGAACATTCAACATCTCCGTGGTCTTCACCAGTAGTCCTCGTGAATAAGAAAGATGGAACAACTCGATTCTGTGTAGATTATCGTCGACTCAATCAAGTTACGACAAAAGATGCTTTTTCATTACCAAGAATCGATTATATTTATGATCAATTAACAAAAGCAACATATTTTAGCAAATTTGACTCCAAAGCTGGTTATTTTCAAGTACCACTCGACAAAGCAGATCGACCAAAAACAGCATTTTCGACACGCGATGAACACTTTCAATTTAAATTATTACCACAAGCATTAACCAACGGACCACCAACATTTCAACGTATTGTTAATCAGATACTTGGTCCAAATCGATGGAAACACACGTTAGCATACATCGATGATATTATCATATACTCACGAACATTTCCTGAACATGCACAACATATTGAAGAAGTATGCTCATTACTAAATAATGCAAATTTCAAGTTAAATATAGCAAAATGTGAAATTGCACGAACCGAAATATTATTTCTTGGACACATCATCAAACAAGGTATAATTCAACCTGATCTAGAAAATACTCGTGGTTTAGCAGATGTTTGTGAACCAACATCAGCCGAAGAAGCATTTCGATTCGTCAAAGCAGCTGAATATTATCGAAAATTCTCAATCATTGCAGCACCACTACACAAATATTCACCAACAACGTTACAATAACAGAAAAATAACAAGAAAGCAAAATTCGAACTGTCGGAAGAAGCACGTACAGCATTCTACCAACTGAAGCATATATTAACAACAGATCTTATTCTCAACTGACCAGATGATGATATGAGAGTGTGTGAGGGAGGAGGAGGGTGCACCCTACAACGGCGCAGTCAGTGTCAATGTGAACGGCATTCGTTGCCGTTAGTTGGCTCATAAGTGATAGTCATATAGTTAATAAATGATTATATAGTATTTAACAGTCAGATGCCGATTACTTGATAGTCCGTTGATTGATAATAAGTGATTGGTTGATAAATATCTAATTAACTGTTACATAATAGTTAATAATTAGTCACTCAAGGATTTACGATCAATCACTTACGAGTTGGTAAGCGGAAAACTCGAAACTTCGAATTGTAGATTTAGAAGTTTAAAAGTTGAATAGTTTAAAACTCGAGTACCCGAATTCTAAGTTGAAAGAGTTAGAATTCGAATGAAAGTTTTAAAACTCGAATCGAATCAACGATTTCTACACTACTCGATGACCTGGGAAAAGGAAAAACTTTTAAGTTTCAAAGAAAATTAGTTAAGAACAATACTATAGTTTTTGTTTGATTTGTTCAGTAAAGATCATTGTCGCCATAATTTCAGGATGTGTTGGAGAAAATGAACTGTTCAAAGCAGCAAGCAGTTTTTCTAGGAAAAAGAGTGCTTTAGAATAGTTTCCCATACTAAAATATACCATTCCAATGTTTCTGTACGTATTAATCAATAAAAAATGATTCCAGGGAAGAATGTTTTCTCTTATTCGAAGTGCTTTATTGTGGAATTCAAGTGCTGAGCAATATATATTCAGATTTGCGTACACTGTGCCCACGTTATTGTAGGAATTGGCTAAATCAGGATGATTTTCAGGTAGAGCTATTTGTCTGATTCGAAGTCCTTTTTCATAAAACTGAAGTGCTTTGTAATATTCTCCCATATTCTGATATGTAAGACCCATATTATTATAACAAGTTGCCAGACTAGGATGACTAGGAGGAAAAACTATTTCTTGTATTTGAAGACTTTTATCATATAATTCGAGTGCTTTCCAGTAGTGACCCATGTTGTCATACAAGAGAGCAATGTTGTTGTAAGACAGAGCTAAATCAGGATGATATGAAGAAAGGGTTTCTTCTCTTATTTTGAGTGCTTTTTGGTAAAATTCAAGCGATCTCTCATAATCACCATTGTCTTTACAAATAGAACCAATGTTGTCATATGTCACAACCAGATCAGGGTGTTTTGGAGGCAAATGTTTGATATCGATTGCCAGTGCTTTATCAAAATATTCAAATGCTTTGCAGAAGTTTCCTGTTTTCCCATAGAGTAAAGCAATGTTATTGTATGTGTTAGCCAGCGAAACCTGATTACCATTTGGAAGAGTTTCTCTTATCTGAAGTGCTTTATTGTAAGATTCCAATGCTTTATGGTAGTCGCCTAGTTCATTATATATTACACCGATACAATTGTAAGAAGTACCTAGGTCAGGATGATTAGGAGTTAGAACTATTTTTCGTATTTGCAGTGCTTTATTATGAGAGCAAAGTGCTTCCGAATATTCACCTAGATACCAATGTACATTACCGATATTATTGCAGGCAATAGCTAGATCAGGATGATTAGATGGCAGCACTTCTTCTAGTTTTTGGAGTGACCTACTGTGATATCGCAATGCTTCGAAGTAGTGACCCATGTTAGTATAAACGTGACCAAAGTTGATATAAATCATAGCCAGAAAATACGGATTTGAAGTCAATGGTACTTCTACTATTTGAAGTGCTTTTTTAAAATATTCAAGTGCTTTTGAGTTTTCACCCAGGTGTCCAAAGATTCGACCAATGTTACTGTAAGCAATAGCCAGATTAGGATGGTTCTGAGGAAGAGTCGCTTCTCTTATCTTGACGGATTTCTGACAAAGTTCCAGTGCTTTTTTGTAATGACCCATATTTGTATAAGTGACAGAAGCATTGTTGTAAAAATATGCTAGATGAGGATGATTGAGAGGAAATGTTTTCTTTCCTATCTGAATCGCATCTCTGTGAAATTGAACAGCTTTAGAATAATTACCCATACGCTCATACAACATGGCAATGTTGTTATGAATCGTAGCCCACATATGACTATTCGGATTGAATAGATTTTCTCGCATTACTTGGAGTGCTTTTTCGTAGGACTGAAGCGCTGTTGAGTAACTAGCCATGTGATCATGAACTAAACCAATACTACTGTGTGTTGTAATCAACAAAATATGATCTGTGACAAGAGTTCTTTGTTGAATTTCGAGAGATTTATCATAAAATAAAAGTGCTTCGTCATTTTTTCCTTGATTTCTTTTCACTTCTCCAAGTTGTAGATAAATATAAGATTTAGTTTCATCATCGATTGTTCGTTCCAGTGTGACATCGTATAATTTTTCAGCCTCATCGAATTGACCCATGCATTGCATTAATGATCCTAATCGTAATCGACCAGATCCTCTTGCGACTTCTTTTTTCCGTAAGTGTTCTGTAAGTCGTTGAAGTTGTAGGTCTTCATCGGAGGTCAATGTAAGATCTACTTGGTAAAGTGAATCAGTGCTATCGATTCGTTGAATATTTTCAATGCGAAAAACAGTGTGCATGGAGAAAAGAATTTCGTCTTCATTAAAACAGCTAACTTCCTTTATGGAAGCGAATGGAGAAGAAGGAATATTGGGATCAATCGTCATTTGAAAAAGAACACCAACAACGTCCATATTTTTGTTAATGCTTTCAGCAAATATAAGTGAAATATCTTTATCAGTAGAAGTAGATAAAAAGTTGTTGAAAGACATAAGTCCACCAAAGTTTTTCTGTAGTCTTTCAAAGTCATTTCTCGATAATCCTTGTCCTCGATAGACCATAAAAGTGTTTTTGTGGCATTGAACAATTTGTTTTCTGTATAGAATTTCGATTTGACTATGTAGATCACATAAAATAAAACTCATTTTAAGAATAATATTCACATCCAACGTTCGAAGAGACAAGTTAAGCATGTGATAGATTAACGGATCTTTTGTGTACCACCAAATAGACGCGTTTGGAGAATAATTGCGTTCGAAATCGGCTATATCATTTAATCTATGCGTATTTCCGACATATTGCTTACGCCAAAGTTGAACCAAGTCGTTAATTGCCTGTTCGTCATGATCTGTTTCCAAAAGTATTTCTTTCAACAATCGAGTGTACATAAACGAAGGTTCTAGTTGATCGAGATCGTAATTGTAATGATCTCTTTCAAAGTTAATAATGCTTATAGGGATGTCATTTTGGTTGGATAGTTTGTCAGACAATTGTATTGCCTCACAGATGAACGTCATTTGTGTGTAAAAACCTTTAATTTTTTTCCAACTATCACTCCAACCATTGTGTAGAGTTTCTCCGTCACAAAAAATGTATATACTGTCAATAAGAGAAATATCATGAATAACGGGTACCAATTGTTGACTCATGATATCTGGAAGAATAATGAACATTTTTCGATAAACGATGTCAGTTACAAAATCAATACATTCATCTAAATTTGTGAAGGTATAGACGTCATTGGCGATGTTTTCCAATTGTGCAAATTTATTTTCATCATCTTCACTTTTCGAATGATTTTGTTCATAGAACCATATCACCAAATTGTACTCAATAAAGTGTTGTTTTATTGATAACGAAAATGTTTCATTTGATTTTTGTTCATGCATATTCAATTCTTCTCTTTTCGGTGAATATTTCTCACTAAATCAAGGATTATTTGACGATTAAAACGCACGTTTTTTTTCTATGTTGGCATTTTTATTTTTTGTTACTTGGTGACAAGCAAAACTACCGAAGTTTGATTGAAAGTACGTGTCAACAGCAAGCGAAAGTGTTCTTGATGAAAATACTTTTTCCTCGGTAAAGAGAAGAACAAACTTTTTCTTGAATATGATGACAAGAAAAACTATCACAATGTGATCAGAAGTATTTTTTACAGTTAAAATAAAACACACTAGCTTGAATTAGATATTTTGGCACCTCATTAAGATAAATATTGGGTGAAATTGAAAGTAGAACAGATTATCAATATATTCAGAAAATGAAGATTCGGACCACACTGTGGTTTTGATAGTTCGAGTTAAAGCCATTTAATAGTTATTATGAAGGGAGTAACTCAGACTTTTTAGAATTTTACGAAACCGGTGATAAATACCGTCTCTTCAAACCATGAGGGTGTGGGTGTGGGGGAGGAGGAGGGCGCACCCTACAACGGCGCAGTCAGTGTCAATGCGAACGGCATTCGTTGCCGTTAGTTGGCTGATAAGTGATAGTCATATAGTTCATAAATGATTATGTAGTATTTAATACTCAGATGCCGATTACTTGATAGTCCGTTGATTGATAATAAGTAATCGATTGGTAAATATCTAATTAACTGTTACATAATAGTTAATAATTAGCCACTCAAGGATTTACGATCAATCACTTACGAGCTGGTAAGCGGAAAACTNGCTAAACAATTAGTTGTTGAACTCCATGTTTGATTTGTACACGAAGAATTACATGACATTCTGGTTGTAGTAGTGGTTGTTGCTATTAAGATAAACACAAAAGAAAGTATCGGAAAAACCTGATGATCTAGTATAATCATTAAAACATTACTTGATGATGTGCTACTAGAAGAACTGCTAGCTGTAGTACTAGTGGTATAATTCAATATATAATTATCTACAATAACACAAATTAGAATAAAAGAAACCGTCATTTTAAACAAATCATCATATATTTACATCCACATTCGATATTCATTAAACATTTTAGATTAAGATCATTACGGCATTCAATGTTATTTTGACATAAAGCTCCGTCTAATTTTTGACTTCGGCATATTGATCCATCATAATATGTATTCATTTCACATTGACAACTATTATTAATACATTTCATATATCGATTATTATCACACATTGAACACGCATAACCATAATTAAGAAAATCTTTTATATTTAATTGAACTGACCCATATAATGATTGAGATGATGGTGATGATGAAATAATTAATCCTGTCGTATCTACATCACCTTGATAAAGACGGCAATATTTTGTTTGAATATCATAATTAAATGTACGACAATATTTAGTTGTCATACATTTTTGAGCACATGTGATAGTAGAACTAGCAGTTGTATTGACGAGAAAAAGAGCTTGTTCATTAGACGGTAAAAATTCTAAACCTATCTGAGATAAATAAAATGATGATTCTCGAAGATTTGGATCACTTTGAGCAAATTTTTGTGTTATTGTAATAATGAAGTAAATCAATAATAGATAACAGCGACTCATTTTTGTATCAATTCTACAATAATAAATCAAACATGTATATTAAAATCATGAGCCACTTTTTCCAAATACGACATACGATCAAAACACACTCCCAGGTTATTATGGCACGGTCGGTTCCGGCTGGTTAGGTTCGTTTTCCGACCATTTCCTTGCCGCTGGATTCCGGCCGGAAGTTTAAACGTAGGTTCCACTCATTTCCCGACCGTTTCCTGCAAACTTCGAGCTGGAAACGGCCAGGAACTGATCGGATATTTCCTGTCCAATTCCGGCCGGAATCCGGCGGCAAGGAATCTGCCGGAACTTGCTGAAATCGGCGAAAACTGTGCCGGAATCGAGAAGAACTGTACCGGAACCCACTCAGATTTCAACGGGTCCAGTCGCCGGAATGATCGACCTGGGCTTTTCTTCTCTTCATTTCTATTATAGTCACTGCAAACAGCACAGATGGTTTCTACTATATCTGCTCTATTTCATAATTAAAACAGGAAAAGAAATAATTTCCTTTTTTGTGTACTCAAAAAGTGAGTCCGGTTGTATATTTATCCCATAACGCTTAAACAGCCTGAGCAATTGACTAGGATTTTTCTTCCGCAGGTTTGTCTCATAAGGAGTGTGGGTGCCGCAGCGAGATCGTCAAACTGGAGGCGAAGAGCAGTCTGTTACATCGTGCACCTTGAGAACAAACCATGAGATGCCTAATTATAATTATAATATAAATTCGCAGTTGAATGAAAAACTTTACTTATAAAATAAACCGTATTCATACTCCAATATTTCTAACTTTCTAATTTATAAATGGACCACACTTTCTGTAAACTTTGTACAAAGGAAAAAAAAGTTTTCTTATAAATTATATTGATAAATCGTCGTAACTAACTTTTCGAGCTCTGGCAAGCAACGTTAAATCGGCCATTTGGAGATTATCTAAGTTATTGTTGACTCTGGTGATAATCTAGTATTGAATGCTGTTGTACGATTTATTCATTCCTTGTCGACAGGTGATGATGTGTTTGCAGTTGAGTTTGATACGTTATGTATTGTATGATTTTCTGGGTACGTAAGGATTGTATGTGGTAAAAGGACGTCTCCTTTTTCTTTCACTTGGTGTCGAGCACCGGTAGCAGTTGCCGTTGGTTATATATCGTGTAGTTTGTGTTTCCTTTTATCTTGAATTCAGGTAAGAGATTCGTTTGTTTGTTCGGGTCACTAGAAGTGACTCTGGTGTAAAGTTTTTTGGCGCGATGTAATAAGAGTGGTTCGATTCTTCTTCAGTGTGATATTTGGAAGAACAAGATAACCAGGGTCGCCAAGTTAGAGCGAGAGAAGTTGTTTATGATGTGCATGCGTATGTATCTCTGTTTATTTCGAAAATTAACGCGTCTTATATGTGTGAGAAAAACAAAGGATATAACACAACATTACAAGTCGAGGGGCACAGACAAAGGAAAGATATATGATATCGTTTAAGATATCATCTATAATGATTCATTCTCGTACAAATAGTAAGTAGAATTTAATAAAGCAAAGGTTAAAGTATCAACTAATACGAAGTCTTGTCATTCGCTGTTTTCTACATTGTCAGGTACTGAGATTGTAATGACGTCGAAATGCTTCCCATTTACGTCTTATTATCATTTGAGATTCCTTCCTATAAACTTCCGATGGTAATACAAAAATGAAGAAGTGAAGTAACGGTGGAATGAACGAAATAAAATAGCCAGACAAAAACAACTTATATTCTTTTGGTGATTTCATACAATTAGATATGAAGGAAATGACTAGACGAGGTAATGATAAGATAACCAATAAAATTGAACTAATGATAAGATATTTGTGATGGTCAAGTTGTTCTCTTAAGTGACTTTTGAAGGTAGTTTCTTTCTTAATAGTCGAACGTTGTCTTGCAGTAATAATAATGATACTAATAGCTGAGATGAAATTGAGTGAGAATGGAATAATAAAATGAAAAAGATTGATAAATCTATTGTAGATTTCAATGTTCAATGTAAATTCAACCCAACACCATGTTCTTTTTTCTTCAATATCATCAAATAGACGACGATATATAGGATCGTGAAGAATAGAAGCAGCAGCAAATAGAACAATTACAAAGATAACTCGTTTTGTGGCTTGTTTGCTCTTTGTTTTGTTAAATTTGACACCTAAAAAAGCAACTAAAAGTCGCTCTAAAGCCACACAACCATATAGCCACTCAGTCGTAACCATTAAAAATCGAAGAAAAAATTCCATTGTAATAGAATTGATCAACAAAAACCTTCGCGAAGTGATAATATTCATTTGAGAAAAAATAAGAAACCATAGTTTAAAATAAAAAGTAATTATTGTCATAATTGCTGTTATTGATGAAACAAATAGATAAAGACCACAACCGATTTCTCGAGTAGATTTTGCTTGAAAAGTAACCATCGATAGAGTTCCACTAATAAGACCAAAAATAAGCATGAATGTGGCTATAGTAATGCTGATCAGAACAGGTGATGATTGTCGGATTATCGAAAGATGTGGATGAATATGATAACCTAGGATGGAATCAAGTGAAAGACCCGAATGTTTAGTACTACGTTCACATTTAGAACCATAAAAACATTCTTGACAAACACAGATCCTTTTTGTTGGACAGTGTGGATCATCTTGAAAACATCGCCCTCCATTTTGACAGTCATGGACGCCTGAACAGTTGTAATTCATATGAAAGTCGAAATGAAAACAATTGGCATGTCTTTTTTCGGTACATAGACACATAAATGTTTCATTATCATGAAAACAACGAAGATCAGTATGTTCTTGACATGCCACGTGATAATATTTTGCACGACGAAGGGTTGAATAATTAACGGTTACTTCATCGAAGAGTTCTCGAATGTGTGGACAACGTTGTGATGGTGCAAGTTGCGTAGAAATAATAATCGAACGTGTATAATTGTGTTGAAGAGCAGCAAGATAATAACTGTATTCTAGCTGAGCGAATATAAGATGAAAGGGAAATGACATGTGGAAAGTGATTGTCTTTTGACCAAAAAGAATTTTTCGAAGTAAAGTTGTTCGTGCTGGTGCTGGACTGTTGCTTATCATGCTATGCTGTATAATCCGGATGAAATGAGCTAGAATAGATGGTGCCATTTCTACATCAGATAAGCTTATGTCAATTCTCACATCTCTATCTTCACAGAATTTCCCCAAAAAACCATCTGGACAAACACAATGGAAATTAGTTAATGAATTTCGGGCATCGTCTGGTACACAAACACCACTATTCATACACGTGTTTGCTTGACATATTGAGTTAAGATAACATCGTGGTCCAATTTTGTTTAAAGAACAAAGACAAATCGATCGGTTATTCACGAAACCAACACAGATCGAATCTGGTGAACAGTTACATTTATATCGAGTAGTAGTAGTTGTATGAATTTGATTTAAGCTGCATGGACAAGAGTTCAAATTAACATGTCTCAGTGATTTCAGGTACTTTTCACTGCATAATATGCGACAATCTTGATGAAGTGGAATCGTAAGTAGAGCACTAACACGGTTAACAGGCATGAAGAGAAATTTTACTGGTATGATCCAACTGGTAAGATAACTAAGACTCAATTTATCATAAGCGTCGATATAGATTGTATAATTTTTTNTTTGATTTAAGCTGCATGGACAAGAGTTCAAATTAACATGTCTCAGTGATTTCAGGTACTTTTCACTGCATAATATGCGACAATCTTGATGAAGTGGAATCGTAAGTAGAGCACTAACACGGTTAACAGGCATGAAGAGAAATTTTACTGGTATGATCCAACTGGTAAGATAACTAAGACTCAATTTATCATAAGCGTCGATATAGATTGTATAATTTTTTGTTATATCCTTCGGCCGTTGTTGATAGAGGAGATACAGATTGTACTTCATGTTACAATCAATTATCGAACTGTATGTAATTTGTTCATGCGAGTGAACGAAACCGACATGATCAACTAGTCTAATGACAATGCCAATGATATGAAAATTTCCCACATTTTCTTGACGTAATTTAATAGTTAGAGCAATACGTTGATTTTGATATTGACAAAAAACACCATAATAATTCGATGGACAAAAACAGTGTTCTGTTTCATTTTTTCCGACCAGTACCACAATACCTCGATGACATATCCACAGATAATGACCATCAATATCTTCAAAGGTATTCTCTTTCGTCACTGGTATCATATCATCTTGCACATGTTTGTCAGTTATTGTTGTTAATTGCATTGAAGGAAAATTAGATGAAGATTGATGAGAAAATGATTTTATCTCATAAAACATGTAATCCTCCATATGTTTGAAATAAAGAATAATTTCTTGATTAGCTTTATCAGACGAATCACATACTTGATCGATACTGTTCTTGCAAACAAAACAGCTGTCTTTAATTGTAGCACATTTCGTATCATTCCAACATCGATAACGCATGACATTACCATTTGAACCACGTGATTTGCAGTAAGATCGTTCATCTGTTCCTCCAACACAGTTGACAACTCCATCTTCAGTATAATTTATATGTAAACAATCCATTCTACTATTGTTTGGGAAAAGACAAGGATGATGATTTGCAGGACATTGAAAAGGTGATGGACAATTAATTTCATCAATCCCTTTTGGACAGTTCCATACTGTATCACAACGTGTATATTCATTCACACACAACCATCGTTCACAGTGAGTTTCATCAGTTTCATTTGCTAAAGGAAGCAGATCAGGCCAATTGTTACACAAAGCAGAAAAAGGAATTTCAGAAATCGTAGTTCTAATACCATCTATGTTCCACTCATCTTCTTCACCAATACAATGCACTTTTAAATCATTAACAAGGAAATGTGCCAGACATTTCTGCTCAGACATGCATGGAAAACGATATTTACTATCATTCAATATACAAGAGCCAGCAGAGAACAATTCATCGAAATCACCAAAACAATCCGAAATTCCATCATTAATTTTATGTGCATGAATGCATTTATTCGTTTCCAAGCAACGTATCATAGTCGGTTCTGCACAGCCAGTCTTATTTTCAATTTGATAAGGATTATAGCATGAAATAAATACTTTATAAAAATCATCCAATAATGACAATTTCAGCTCGTCAATGTGTAAACATGTATAATCATTCACTGTAAAGGTTGGAACGAGAAATGGACATAAATATTCATTGTAACAGACGAATTGAGGTCTAGCTTCTTTAACAAAGTTAATTGTCTGATTAGCAAAGTAGCCTAATCTTACATGGCCACCCCACATAGGAAAAGTTGGTGCGATGAATGAGGACGGACACCCATCAAGAGTTTGTCGTTTACATTCTTCTTTATTAAGGCATAAATTTCTACAATGCTGATCAAACTCGTTCGAAGATATCAATACGGATGTACATACAAGAGTTTTGAAACAGCGAGGAAACTCTATATCTTCGGAGTTGTGCCAATCAACTAGAAAGTTGAATGCTTGATCTCGTTGATTATTGCATTGAAGTTTATTATCTGGGAAATCATATTTAAGACAATTGCCATCTCCACAAGGAAAATGCCAAGGAGTTCGACAAATGAAATCTTCGCATCGAAACGTTGGATCATTAAGACATTTATCACCACCATCGAGGTCTCTCACTCCAATTTCATCCGATGCATCCATACATTCTGGACTAATTAATTTCCAAAACTCATCTCTTAGAAAACCTTCATTCACACACATTCCATTTCGACATTGATATTCATTCTCTTCACATCGATTTATATACAATTCATGACAATGTTTTTCATCTTCACCACCATCAAGACAATCGACTTTTCCATCACATATTTCACTCCAATCAAGACAGAGATAACGTGAGCCACGATTACATTTTAAATGCTCATAGCATGTAAAAGTTGGCATATTCGGGGGCCTATCTGGTCTTCGATGAAAGATTGTTTCGGTAAGTTTTGAAAATGATTGATTTAAAATAAATCTATACTGACAAAACGGTCCAAACCATGGCAGAGTACAATTATAAAATTGTGCAATTGATGATGATTGATTCATTTCTTGCAAAAATTGTTCATAATCTTCAACAAGATCAATAGGACTCGACCATTCTATTAGATTCTTACTGGTTATATTTTGTTTTTTTAATTCATCGAAGCTTAATTTAGATGATATTGAATTTTCATTGATATTTTCTTCTTTGAAATGCATACCTGTACAGTATTCAATTATCTGTTTAACTAGGATATCACTCTCATCAAAAGTATCTTTGTTAGGGATTGTCAAATAGAAACAGTCATGAGAGAATTCGTTGATCATCCTATCTGTGTTGTAAAGGTTATAGAATGGTTGCCATACATTTGAATAAGAAAACATAAAGAGACCAATAATGATATTAAATAAAAATATATCCATCTTGAGAATATTCAATCTGAAATGATTCATATACATTTTTCGAAGGAAAATATTATATATGATCCCAATATTGGATTTCACTTACGTATATCCTATAGACTTTTCTACCTATGCCAATGTTACAATTAAGATATGAGGCCAACTTTCTTTTCACTCTATTTAGACTTGATCATATATTATTATGTAATAAATATAGCTACATATCTTATCTTGCAGTTCAAGATTAGTTGGATTTTTCATAATATTACCATGTATTTGTCTTGTAAATTTATGCATCCTGTACGCTTATTAAAGTTGTTCGTAGTTCATTCATCTCATGTAGCATCAAAATGAATGTAAGAAGGCTCAAGGAAAAACTATCAATCGTAGAAAATGCCAAAAAATTCAGGGTACGGAGGTAAGCGAAAATGAGTGTAAAGATTAAATGAGGCATTTACATTTACACATCCATCTGCGTTGATACACATTTTTCTTAGTATGCATCAAACCTGGCCATTCAGGTTGGGTAGATATCGAATCCTTTCGACACTTTTGTTAATTATGTCGATGATCATATACGGCACATCTTGGTTAAATGAATGGATGCGTGATGTACGTTTCAAATTTATTGTTTATCCACAATCTCCATCAACATCTGTCCAATTTGAGCATGAGACGACTTTTATCTCAAAATTTACTTACGGATCAAGTCTCACATATTGCATATTTTCTATGAAGAACGCTTATCTTTATGATATTCTTCCTAAAATTCCAACAAAAAGAATTTTTGGGGCAAGCGACAATTGCCCGCTCTCATTCCTAGCTGACTCACCCATGGTAATGAAAAATATTTTGTGGGAGGTGTGTCTGTCTCATTTTCTGAAAAATAGAGAAAAGAAACCGAGTTTACATTTGTTTGTTGGCATTTATCCTCAATATGATGAACCTACCACTACTCTCGCGTGCACCATTGTTTTTAACTTTTTCTTAAATAATGCATATTAAATCAACTTACCATACCATACATTCAACTTGACTGCGTTGCAGATTTATATTCGCATCTCACATGTATAAGAATAAGAAGCATTACAAAGCTACGAACAACAAATAATTAGATCTAAGCAATATTGTTCCGAGATACGAGAAAAATATACTATTCAGTTTATCTCTCAAATATTATTAAGTTAGGGCCCGGCGGGTCAGTGGCAGAGCTAGGACGAGTACTTGGCGTAAAGCGATTAAATCTTCTCGACAGATAATTTTCGAAAGTCATCCATTAGGTTCATTCGATACACCTTGTTGAGTGTTACAAAATGACATATCTTAGTCTTCTATTCTAAATGTGAATAGATTTCAACGATTGAAAAATGCCAAAAGTACTTGTACTTGTCAAGTACAAGTACTTTTCATACATTGATGTTTTTTAAAATTTAGGTATAGTCGGAACACAAAAGCAAGATATGTCATTTTGTAGCACTCAACAAGGTGTATCGAATGAACCTAATGGATGGCTTTCGAAAATTATCTGTCGAGAAGATTTAATCGCTTTACGCCAAGTACACGGCAAGTAATCGTCCTAGCTCTGGTCCGCGGTTTTTCATCCTGATCTCGCCGGTGTTGGATTTGGGTTCGGATCAGCGCAACTGGACCCTATATTAAGGCATCCCGGCCTTCATAAAAAGTCAAATTTGATGGTTTTATGACTTTTTGCTGGTTAAAGAGGTCCTAGTGTCTACTTCAAATTACATTACAGTTTATTGATTTTATGACGCGTTTTCGAGGTTTTATAGCGTTTCTGAATCGTTCTATTAAAAAAATAATGTTTTTTCTCGAAATTTTTTATAAGTTTTCCAAACTTATCGAGCGAAAAGAACATGAAAGTTTCGATTATGGGAGTGAACCTACTCATTCAGAACACCGCCCGTTTATAACAAATCATGATAAAGTACTTATACTACTTTCTCAAGCAAAAAACTTTCAAGTACAGTATCTAAGCTTTTTATCTATTCTTCAAAAGCGATTTTTTCCTGTTTTCAATTTCGTACTTCAAAGATTTCTCAGCTGTTGCAAATGCTAGACGGTTCAGATTAGTCTGAACACATAGTCAAGACTTGGGACGACAACTTAACAGGTCCAAATTTTTCATTTGATGCGTAATGGAGGTGGTCGTCATGATTTGTTGTACCCCCTATTTTTTAAAATCTTAGCAACAACTGTAGGAAATGAACCACAGAAAAATTGAAAAATCCGAATCTGTTAACTTATAACACCAAGTCGTGACTATATTTTAAGATGAACCCGGGTTTTCTAGCATTTAAAATGACTCAGAAGGTTTTAAAGCGAGGACAGCTGTATTTTGACCCTAACTAACTCTTCATAAATTCAATATCTCGACCTGAAATTTGTACTCTGAGGTGCCTAACTTGAAATACATATAATCTGAAAATTTCAATCAGATTTGCTGAGCGGAAGCAAAAATAGATTTCTGAGGGATGGAGTGGCCTTAAAGTATACACTTACGATATTTCTTCGGGAATTCTCTTCAGCTCTAAAGTACAAGTAACGCTCATCCTTTGGATTCGCTGATCCTTTTCTGGAAGACTTTCCGAATGCTGAACGCATTCAGAGACTTCGAAAGAGAAAAAACGCACTGCGATTGTTATTAGTGCTCAACTGAATCAAGGCACTATGTCACACACTGTACAGAAAAAAAATCAGCAGAATAATCAACCCTCAAAAAAGGTTTATAACTGAAAAAACCGTTTATCAGCTTGATCTACCCCTTGATGAACCCTTTTTTCTTGAAAAACCCTTGAAGGGTTTATTATCCGTTGCAAGCTGATAAACGCAAGGGTTGATTATCTCTTGATAAACCCTTTTTTCGTTGATCAATTGAATCAACCCTGAGACCCAGAGTTGATCATCACCTTTGAGAAACCCATCGTTTTAGGGTTCATTCAATTGATCAACGAAAAAAGGGTTTATCAAGAGATAATCAACCATTGCGTTTATCAGTTTGCAACGGATAATAAACCCTTCAAGGGTTTTTCAAGAAAAAAGGGTTCATCAAGGGGTAGATCAAGCTGATAAACGGTTTTTTCAGTTATAAANTGCGACAATCTTGATGAAGTGGAATCGTAAGTAGAGCACTAACACGGTTAACAGGCATGAAGAGAAATTTTACTGGTATGATCCAACTGGTAAGATAACTAAGACTCAATTTATCATAAGCATCGATATAGACTGTATAATTTTTTGCCATATCTTTCGGTCGTTGTTGATAGAGGAGATACAGATTGTATTTCATGTTACAATCAATTATCGGACTGTATGTAATTTGTTCATGCGAGTGAACGAAACCGATATGATCAACTAGTCTAATAACAATGCCAATGATATGAAAATTTTCCACATTTTCTTGACGTAATTTAATAGTTAGAGCAATACGTTGATTTTGATATTGACAAAAATCACCATAATAATTCGATGGACAAAAACATTGTTCTGTTTCATTTTTTCCGACAAGTACCACAATACCTCGATGACATATCCACAGATAATGACCATCAATATCTTCAAAGGTATTCTTTTTCGTCACTGGTATCATATCATCTTGCACATGTTTGTCAGCTATTGTTGTTAATTGCATTGAAGGAAAATTAGATGAAGATTGATGAGAAAATGATTTTATTTCATAAAACATGTGATCCTCCATATGCTTGAAATAAAGAATAATTTCTTGATTAGCTTTATCAGACGAATCACATACTTGATCGATGTTGTTCTTGCAAACACGACAGCTGCCTTTAATTGAAGTACATTTCGTATCATTCCAACATCGATAACGCCTGATAATACCAGTTGGATCCTGTGATTTGCAGTAAGATCGTTCATCTGTTCCTCCAATACAATTGACAATTCCATCTTCAGTATAATTTATATGTAAACAACCCATTCTACTATTGTTTGGAAAAAGACAAGGATGATGATTTGAAGGACATTGAAAAGTTGATGGGCAATTAATTTCATCAATCCCTTTTGGACAGTTCCATACTGTATCACAACGTGTATATTCATTCACACACAACCATCGTTCACAGTGAGTTTCATCAGTTTCATTTGCTAAAGGAAGCAGATCCGGCCAGTTGTTACACAAAGCAGAAAAAGGAATCTCAGAAATCGTAGTTCTAATACCATCTATGTGCCACTCATCTTCTTCACCAATACAATGCACTTTNAGTTGAGATTTTGTTTGGAGCAGCAGTTCGGGTGCAGATATTCAGGCGTTTTCAGTATATGCCATTAGCATGGGTATCCTATGACAAATACGAAATATCTATGGCGAACGTATGACATACGGAGAAATTGTACTGAGTAGAAAAAGCAACATGCTCAAAATTTCGACACTTGCGGTCCGTATATTTCCGGTTTTCCATTGCACAACACGGTTACTTCGGCTGCAGTTTTGAACGCAAAGACGTTGCTGAATCTGATTTCTGCAATAGGAGTTTGATTAATTTTCTTTTACTCTGATATTGATTCTCCATTCCAGCCGTTCATTTATAGACTTCAATACCACTTTCACATGCCAGCCTATAGATTATATCTTCTCATTCACCCTCGAGGTTGATCTCAATCTTTTCAAAGCCTGCATCTCTACTGATTGACTCCATCGATTCCCTGTAGCCACTGTAACACCCATAAATTTATACCACGCGTGGATAATTCTCTTCGAGCGCTCAGACGGCCTTCGCTATCACAGTTAACCTCGATGCTTTCTCCAACGAACATCCACTGTCAACAGCCCCCCAAACCATGTTTTCAGACGTTTTGGCCAACTTCGAAGAAAATGTTTTTTTGACCACTTTTTTCGACAATACCCTCCTTTCAGTCGAGGGAATAAATCTAAATGTTGTTCGAACGCATTATATGATTGAAAAATTACAAGAATATATTATTACCGAACAGCGAGACGAGTATTGAGTAAATAATTTTACACCACACGAAAATCGTTTTTTAGGTAAAGAATGAATATTCAATATTATCGTTGCTATAAATAACTTTGATGACAAAAATATGATATTATTCTCTATTCTTTTCTTTTTAGTGTCAAGATCTTCGTCATGTAATTTGAATTTTGTTGATCCTCGAATGCGTATATCATCACTACTATTATCCAATGTTCGAAGAACACCGTCGCAATTAACAACTCTTGGACTAACATTCAATATGTAAGTCATAAATTATTATCATCATTTATCCTTTTATTTATGAAATATTTATAGAGAAATAAAATTACTAACTCACAAATGCACGGTTTGCTTTTCTGAAAAATCTGTTTCCGATTTTACTAAAATTATCAGCTCTTTATGTCCACATATGTAACGTCAAATATGTAAAGATCACATACGTAAAAATACACGAGTCGCAATTAGGAATAATCCAACTACTGATATTCGCTGTCCTGAAGAGTGTAATATTTACAACAACTAGTTTGATGATTCAATCGCATATGAGTCGAATCTTTTCACAAAGATAGATAGATGATTTCTGATTGATAGAATCAAAATATGTGTTAATTTAGTTGTAAAAGAAGAGAATGGTCTTAAAGAAAAATATAGCATCGCTCCATCGAGCATTTATTCAAAAGTAAAATGCAATGAAAAAAGATATTTTCAGTCCGTATCATTTTCTCAATAGTTTCTTTATATACTTGTATTTTTCTTGGTAAACTTAAGAATCATTACGTGACTGGTATGACGAATGAATGATTTATTGATCTAACAAAGAATCAATGTGTATATGAACCAGTGCAGGAGTTAAAACTGAGGTTATAACTATCAACTACAGTTATGAATCGCAGAAAAGACTATGGGATACATAGAAAAAATGTATTATCGGCTGTCGATATTTAAATAGAAGATCTAGAGAAAAGATTAGTTCTTTAAAAAGTTCTGTCGAATACAACAATAAGCCGAAGTAATTCTAATATTAGTATAATTAAATTAATTTATAAACATAATAAAGTCAATGATTCTCAAAGTTCTAACCAAACGCCATAGTTAAATCATTTCTACTATAGAAAATTGTATTGTTTTTATGAGTATTGAGAAAAACAATGATACATAATAAGTTTGTATTTTTCCGTCTGATATTACCATTTATTTCACTGATTGAGAAGTTGTCCAATCTTCCAAACAGTAAAACAGGCTTACAGTATTAACGAGCATCTGTCACCATTTTGAAAATCTTCTCAAAATTGTATTTGTTGCAAATATTTTCATAAGAATTTATCTTTATGCATTAAGAACATATTGAATAGTTGTTTTACATAAATCTTTTTTTTTTCATCAGTTATTTTTCAGTTTCATACTTAATCTTATAATGAAATTAAGTGAAATAATGGTTTGTAATATAATTTAATTTTTAGAAAGCAAAAAAAGAATTCTTTTTTGTTTTTCAGGTTGAACCCAATGAATCAGAATCATTGTATGTTTGTCAGAAAAAGTTTTTTTTAAATAAAATATTTATTTTATTTTTATTTAGATGGAAACGTTTTCAACAACGAAAACGTTTATGGTTTATTCTTATTCTTATTCTTATTCTTATTCTTATTATAGCATTGATCATAATTATTACTGTAGTTATTATACATACGAAGAAAAAAGATAATAATGATATTTTTTCATCAACTGTGAAAATAGTTACCACAGAAATGATGATAACAACAGAAAATATTTCTTTAACTACTATCAAAGTATGAATAAAAACGTTTTACCTTTGAAAATAGTTATCTATTTTAATATGATGATTTATAGAATAACAATTTACCTTTATTCAAAGAAGAAGGGATTGTAGTTGCTGGAAGTATTGAATATGGAAAAGGATTGCATCAACTTGATGACCCTCAAGGTATTTTTGTTACTAAAAATACAAGTTTATTTGTTGCTGATTATGGGAATTGGCGTGTAGTTGAATGGAAATATAAATCAAATACTAGTGAAATTGTTGCCCATGATAGTGAAAGCAGTTCAAGCTTACATCCATCTAATGTTATTCTTGACGAAGAAGATCAATCTATAATCATTGCCGATCTGATGACAAAACAAGTTACACGAAGGTCGAGTCAAAATCAACAAATTCTTGTTTCCAATATTTATTGTTGGGGTTTAGCTATAGATAAGAATCGATCACTTTATTTTTCAGATGTCAATGAAAATATTGTATTAAAATTGAAAAAAGATGATAATTATACAACAATAATTGCTGGTGGAAATGGACTAGGAAAAAACATGAATCAACTAAATTTGCCAACATATTTATTTGTCGACGAAAATTATTCGCTTTATATATCAGACACTAATAATCATCGTATCATGAAATGGAAGAAAGATTCTAAAAAAGGAATTATTGTTGCTGGTGGAAACGGTCCAGGAAATAGTCTTCATCAGTTAATCTCTCCTAAAGGTATTATTGTTGATAATTTAGGTTATATTTATATATCCGATGAAAGAAATAATCGTATAATGCGTTGGTATGAAGGTGATAGACAAGGTTTAATTATTGTTGGTAATAAAGTTCAACAAATAAAAGAAACAAATCAATTAAGCTTTCCACAAGGTTTAACTTTTGATGTTCAAGGTAATCTTTATGTTGCAGATAGTGGTAATAATCGAATCGTAAAATTTGAAAAATATTCTAAATAAATCGTTTACAACTTGATGAATAGTTTTTTTCAATTATGTATCATTAAAATCAATAAAAAGAAATATCGATAATATTCAATAATTATTTAATATGTGCCTATCAATGTGTATTTAATCTATGAAATATATAACCATTGTATTAAGAATAATAATGAATATTTTATCGAATATATTCAAGAATTATGATTCTAGTTGTTACTCTAATTAATAGTCTGTTTCTATTATTGCAGTTATCTGTAAGAAAATATTGAGATTTGATCAAATAAAACAGATCAATTTACAATCAATTATTGACTAATCTAAACCAAAAGAAGAATGTTGATAAATAACATGCATATAAGAATGAGTGACTGATGTATTTATTAAAGAATAGAAAAGATATTAATCTATGTCTCTTCAGCGTCTATTTGAATCGATCTTAGCATTGAAGTTATGTTTTGTCTTAAATAGTAGCAATATGAGAAAAAAGAAAAGAATATCTTTTGTTTGATTAAAGAAGTGATATGCTCAAAGATTGAACTTGTAAATTATTGTATTACATTTTTCTTTCTATTTGAATGACTAGTTCTAATAAGATTGACAATGATATATTGAAAAAAAAACGTATGAAAAACATATTCCTTTTCAAGATCAACTTCGCAAAATATAAAATATTAGCTCATCATAAGAACAAACTCATTGATTTATACAAAATTCCGAAAGATTAAATATTTATGAAAAATATTCGTGATCTTATTCTGTACTATTGATTAAGTGTATACTGTTATTCAATCATTTTGAGGATGCAGGTGAAGTCTGTCAGAATGTTTTCTTTCATTATCCACTCGTATTTTTAACTCTCACACCGTTAAAATAGAGTCTTATTTTTCTTGTTCTATTCTCTTCTTTATGCTCCATCTTATCTATCGATATTATAAATTCTCACAAAATATGATTGAAACATATTAAATCATTATATTCGATTAACTTGATTGTTTATTTTTTAGCAATATGACCATTTAAAAGCAGACACAAAGCAACGGTTGAAAAAATGATATATAGAGAAGTGTCATTAATTAATTTTGTCTTCATAAAGAGGGATTCGGACGAGCACAACGCTTTATTTGCGTCCATTTTCGTCTTATAACTATCTTAAATTCTTTCGTGTATATATCAGATGTTAAAACAAATATGAAAAAATGTAAGACTGGTGGAACGAATGAAAGAAAATAACCAACTAAATAGATTTTATATTCTCTCGGTGATTTCATACAATTTGGTAGAAATGAAATAATCAAACGTGGTAATGCTAAAATAACCAATAAAATTGCACTAATAATCAAATGTTTGTGATGATATAATTCACTTTTCAGTTGTTCTTCAAATGTAGTTTGTTTCTTAGCAGCTGTATGTCTTTTTGCAGTTAAAATAATAATTGCAATCACCAAAATAATATTTAGTAAAAAAGGAGTAAGAAAATGAAAGATATTAATCGATCGATTATAGATCTCAGTTTTTAATTGAAAATCAACCAAACACCATGTTCTTTGTTCTTCTACATTGTGAATGATACGACGATGAAGTGGATCATGAAGAAAAGAAAGAGTAGTAAGAATAAGAATAAAAATAATGATAAATTTAGAATATTTTCTACTTTTTGTTTTATCAAATTGAATACCAAAATATACAATAAGAAATCGTTCAATTGTTACACACGAATGAATCCAATCAGTAGTCGCTAATAAACTACGAAGAATAAAATCTATGGAAATACAATTAATCCAAAGAATAGATCTTCCTACAATGATATTCATTTGTGAAAGAATGAGAAACCATAATTTGATATAAGAGAAAATAATTATCATCATTGATGTGATTGATGAAATAAAAAGATAAAAACCACAGCCAATTATTCGTGTTGCTTCTGAGTGAAATGTTAGATTTGATAAAAATCCAGTTATTATTCCAATAATGAATATTAATGTTGCTAAAATGAGACTAATTTGAACAGGCATTGTTTGTTGTGTGATTGATAAATGTGAATGAATATGATAACCTAGAATAGCATCAAGCGAAAGACCAAAATGTCTTGTAGTTAATTGACATTTATCACCATAAAAACAATCTGGACAAACACACATTGTTTTTGTTGGACAATGTGGATGATTTTGAAAACATTGTCCATCATTTAAACAATCATTTTGTCCTAAACAATTATAATTCATTGTAAAATTAAAATGAAAACAATTTGCATATTTTTCTTTTGTACATAAACACATAAATAAATCATTATCATGAAAACACATTAAATGAGAATATTGTCGACAAATAAGATGATAATACTTAATACGATTTATCTTTGGATAATTCACGATAGTTTTATTCAAGAGTTCATCGATTTGTGGACAATATTGTGATGGTGATATTTGTGTTGAAATATTAATTGAAGATTGATATATATGTTGAAGAACAAGAAGATAATAATTTGTATTGATTTGTGCAAATATAAGATGAAATTCTATTGATATATAAATTGTAATCAGTGTTTGATCATATGGAATTTTGTGAAACATTGTCAATCGTGGTTGAAATTGATCTAAACTGAATAGATTACGTTTGATAATACGGATAACATGAATAAGAAATGTTTGTGGAATAGGAATATTTGAAAATAAAATATCAATTTTAACATCTCTCTGTTCACAATGTCTACCAGAATATCCATCAGGACATGTACATGCATATTTAGTTATTGATACACGATAATCATCAGGTATACAAATACCATTATGTAGACATGGATTTATTTGACATGTAGAATTAATATAACAAAGTGGTCCAATTTTATTTATTGAACAAAGACATATTGATCGATTATTTACAAAACCAAAACAAAGTGAATCTTGTGAACAATTACATTTGTGTTCATTCATAAGTAGTAGTTGATTTGAAAGACATTGACATGAATGAATATGATGTTGAAATTTTAATGATTGTAAATATTGTGAACTACATATTATTTGACAATCCTGTTGTAATGGAATAATTAAGACAGCATTCATACGGTTAACAGGTAGAAAAAGAAATTCAATTGGTAATAACCAACTTGTTCGATAATGAAGATTTACTTTTTCATATGCATCGATATAGATTGTATAATTTTTATCCATATGTTTTGGTCTATGATGATAAAGAAGATGTATATTATATTTTGTATCACAATCAATGATCGGAATATATGTAATTTGTTGAAAAGAATGAATAATACCAGTATGATCTACAAGACGAACAATGAGACTAATAACATGTTGTTGAACTAAATTTTGTTGTCGTAATTGAATTGTTAAACTAACACGTTGATTTTGATATTGACAAAAACGACCATAATAAGTTGATGGACAAAGACAATAAAGTGTTTGATTTTGTCCAACAAGAATATCAATACCTTGATTACATGATTGTGCATATTGATTAGATCTATAATCATTTAAATTCAATGTTGAGTTTGCTATTTTAGTACTTTGTATATATTTCGATGAAGATGAAAGTAAAGATACTTGCATTGGTGGATAGTTGTCCAAAATTAGATGAAAGAAAGATTCGCTATACATATAGAAGTGAATATCCATCATATAATTTAAGTAATTAGCGACATGATCATTGTTGAGATTATTAGTTTGACATAATTCAATTGACTTATCGAGTTCGTTACATAGCAAGCAACTAACAGCAGGATTTACACATTCAGTATCATTCCAACAACGATAACGTTTATAAGACTGATCAGGATATAATGATCTGCAAAGAGATCGTTCATCAGTTGCTCCAAGACAATCAACAGTACCATCATTAATATAATCAATATGTAAACAATTCATTTTCGAAGTTTTCCAAGAAAGACAAGGATGATGATTTGGAGGACATGAAAATGGTGATGAACAATTGACTTCATCAATTCCATTTGGACAATTCCATACTCCATTACAACGTGTATAATGATTTACACATGGCCATTGATCACAATGAGTCTCATCAGTGTCATTTTCTGATAATTTAAAATGAACAAAATTATCACACAACAGTGAAAAGGGTAGATGATACATGTTTTTTATCTTAAGACCGGTAGAGTCTTCATCTTCTCCACCAAGACATTGTTTTATTTCATCACCTACCATAGTATGTCGAATACATTTCTTTTCAGAAGTACAACGAAAACGATATTTCTGATCATCTAAATCACATGAATTCGCTAAGATAGATTCATCGAATGCATCAGGACAATCAACATATCCATCCATAATTCGTCGCTTTGAAATACATTTAGTTGTTTTTGGACATTGTAACATAGTTGATTGTGAACAATTGTAATTTTTAGTTTGATAAGAACGATGACATGGAATAAATGATTTATACAGATCAAAAGATTCTGTTAGGTTTAATTGATGAACATGTATGCATGTATAATTATCCACACTGAGTGTTGAAATGAGAAATGGGCAAAGATCTTGATCATAACATACAAACTGAGGATTGTTCGATGTTTGATTTGAAAAATAACCGAATCTTACATGATTATCCCACACTGGAAAAGTAGGACCAATGAATGCAGATGAACATTGTTGGAGAGTTTCAGTTCGACATTGTTGTTTGTTATGACATAGAGTTTTACAATATGTGTTTGAAATTTCAAATGAAAACCAATTTAATGCACACAGTAATATTTTGAAACAAAGTGAATATCCTTGGGTATGAGGGTTATGCCGAGAGAAAAGAAGATCAAACATAGGATTTTGTTGATTAAAAGGACAATAGTCTTTACTACCTGGAATAGGGTAACAAGAATACTGCCCGTATCCAGAATTAAGTTTAGATAAATCTTGTAACATGCTATCTTCGCAATGAAAGTTAGCCCTATTTGTACAATATTTTTGGTCAATACTTAAATACTTTGTATCCGTCCTATCTAAACATCCCATATTAAAAGAATCAATTATATCATCCATCATGAATTCTTCATCGATACACATTCCATTTCGACATTGATATTCATTTTCTCTACAGTGATTTAATTCCAGATCAAGACAATGTTTTTCATCTTCACCACTATTAACACAATCAACTTTTCCATCACATATATCGCGCCAATCGAGACATCCCAAAGGAATACTATAATTACATTTCATATGATTGTAACAAGTAATGTTTCTATATGGTGTCGGATCGCTATCACTATCAAGCATAGCTTGTATGTAAGTTGGAAATGGTACTGTAAGGATGAGTTGATATTGACAAAATGGTCCAAACCATGGTGAAGTACAATTATAAAATTGATCTTTTGTTGAAAATGTATTATCAAGCAGAAATCGACTATAATGTTCAATCAGATCGATTGGAGTTGACCATTGAATAAGATGTTGAACAGTAATATGTTTTTGTTTTAATTCATTGAATGTCGAAGTAGATGAGATTGAAGCTGTATTCAAATGAATTTCTTCTTCAATACTTGATCGAATACAATATTCAACTAATTGTTTAATTACAAACAATTTCTCGTCCCTCTTTATTTCTTCCTTTAACATTCCATAAAAGCAATCATGATCGAGACGAGTAGATATTACTTCGGTCTCATGAAGATTATTGAAAGGTCCCCATTCTGTGGGATATGCAATAACGAAGATATTAAAATTTGTAATAATAATAATGTTAATGATGATGATCAATGTTAATAAGGAATTCATTTGGAATGTTATTAAATAAAAACAATATTAATGCGTGGAAACTGTATTGATGAAATTGTCATTTAATCATCAACATAATTATGTGTTCCATTTATCATTGCATATTCTTTATTTGAGTCAAGGAAAAATATTAGGATAAAAAATAAAATAAAAAAGTGGAGTGATAAAACTAAAGATTAACATACGGATATAAAACAAAGAATGTGCTTTTATCTATATATAATTCGGAAATGAAAAGGGATATGAAAAGAAAATTGATTAACAGATGGATAAAAAGCAGCTCCTTTTGTGAAAAATCATGAGAAATAATAATCTTTTTCTTTGTTCAAGAAGTTTTGTAAAATAGAAAATGATTAGATCATAGGTTAAAAGTAAGAAAGAAACGGTGTATTAGCTTATTTTTATTTGGAGATATTAATGTCTGTTAAAAAAACATGAGAAAAATTACATCTACGCCAAGCGGATGCATGTGAATGGTGAGAAAAAGTGATAAATATCGACAGAAAAATAATTAAGAAATATTGTTCGATTATTTCACACATTCCAGGTTATTCAATTTTGTACAAAAACTACTCAAGATATTCGATCCTGCGAGAAATAAACCCATAGTAAACCCACTTACTGATCTAATTACATCATAATCGATTAAAATATGTTTAACGAATTAATAGAGGTTATAATTGAATTGTAAATATTGTAATAATAAAGATAAAATATTTATCAATTTCGTTCTGGATCGAGAAGAAATCAAGTTGTATTGTATAGTAGCTTTGCTTCTAATTATATGCATATGTATGAACTGTTTTATTATTTAGTGATCCATCATCAGTTGTTCTAATTCGTCTATTTCACACTTTTCTCCATTCAACAAACATGAACTTTGTTGATCATATGTTATTGTTCTCTCGACTGAAAGCAAGGTTTTGTGCAAAAAAAGTGGGCTCGTAAACTGAAATTCGTTTGTATGTATGCTTGTCGTGGGTCAAAGGTCAAAAAATTTTTTTTCAAACCTTTAGAATTCTATGAAACATCGTTTGGAATCGGTTTAAAAGTTGATCGAACAACGTTTTAGCAAGATGCTAGGAAAGAGCCTTAGGTCTAAGAGAGAATTTTACCAAATGAATTAATTGACTAATCTAATACAATATTGTGAACATGTATGAGGCCCAATTAGAAGTTTCCTCGTCTGGAAGGTGGGTCATATGACAACAAATAATGTGTATGAGGGTATGCTTGTGTCAAAGTCAAACGTTAACATGGACATCGTCTTCGCGAATAGAGCTCAAGGATAGATGAAACTAATCGATAACTGTGGTCGATTAAAGAAATGAGCAGTGATGTATGACGCAGCATAAAGCTGCCAAATTGAATATCTAGCATGCATAAATCAGCGAATTAGCCATTGGATATCTTAGATGATTTAGTTTAGTTGTATGAATCTATAGACGAGGACTAGTACAAGTTCGCTATCATAATCTCTAGTAAATGAAAGCTAGTTTCCTGCTGAAAGCTTCGTTCATATGTGATTGTGTCGAAGTAGCTTAATTATTTGTGAAGCGTTGGAGAGGAAGACCCATATCCGTTATGTAGACTATATATGCAATGCGCTGTGTCGAGCAGTCGCGAGTGGCGGGCCGAAGGGACGCCGACGATCGACTGCGAGATAAATGGTTTGATATATCTCTTGCGAATACCTTATGAAAAGAGTGGAGTGAAAGGAAAACCAATTGAGGAGTAAGGGAATGTGCCTTGCAAAGCGTTATTCAATAATATGTTTGACTTCCTTCATATTATTTATCGCGGCTGCTACTTTTGGTTTTTATGATGCATTAAAAGCACGTTTACTTAGTTCAAATTCTAACATTGTTCTGTTATTTTTACTTGGTGATTGTGTTACAGTTACATCTGGTCTCATTGCATAGCCAGTCGATACGATTCGACGACATATGCTTATGACATCCGGTCTAGCTGTTAGATACAAAGGATCAATCGATTGCATAGTTTATGATATTCGTAACGAAAGTGTTACTTCATCACTATTAAAAGGAACTGGTAGCAATATTGTAAGAGGTATTGAGGGTACTGGTGTTTTAGTTGGCCTTGATAAGCTTGTACAATTTTATACCGGTACCAAAGTTGATACTAATACTAGTGGGGGTCGCTAAGAATTTTTTGTTCATTTATATCCTTATTCTCTCGAGTGTAAGAAGGGTCATCGAATAATAAAACTGTTAAGTCAGACACCTTAACTAATAAAATTGGATACTAAGTTTGAAGATGGAAAGAGTGCGTAGCCGCGAGTCACGAGTGGCGCTCCATAGGGGCGCTGACGAGCGACGAGCTGCTCCCGGTGATGTCTTCTAATATACGAACGAAAAGTATCAAGCAAATTTGTATTTGAGGTTTATTAGCAATCGTATTTTTTGGACGGTAATTGTCATTTAGAAACGTCTAAGTAAAGAAGAAGAACGACAGTAGTGCTTAACTTTGTTTTCAAAACTATGAGATGAACGAGAATCTACCTCGAAAAATGATCTCCTTGCACGTTTCTGTCTTTTTGTATGGCAAAGTTCCGTGAAAATTATTGTATTTTGAGGTATAATTCAGTCCAGGGTCAAGCGAGTCACTCTGGAGGAGCGTTATTTATTGATGCTTCGTTTTTTAATTCATATGTAAAATATGATTAATATCCAATGAGTCATCATTATATATATATATTTCGGAGTTGACTTTAGAATTCAGTTGCCTTTTAAATACAACTAGTTGGCTTCAAAATATTTTAAAGTCAACTCCGACATATTGGGTTGGTGTATAACTAACGACCGTTTTTTCCCTAAATTTATTCAATAAAAGAACAACAAAATACACTCAATACATGTTCAAAAGGTCATTCTGGAGCATAATCGCCATCTACTTCAATAACTGCTTCCCACTTGCTTGGTAAAAGATCGATTCCACGTGCAAAAAAGTGACGATTTTTGGATGCTATCCACGCTTTGACATCATCGACAAGATCGTCCAAATCATCGTAAATTTTGCCTGCCTGCCAATTTTTAAGTGAACGATTGACGTGATAATCTGTAGGAGCTTCGGTGGGAGAATATGGTGGATGTTCAAGCAGTTCCCATCCTTTGTCGTCGATTGATTGGGTTACTTGATGTGCGACGTGGGGCTTGGCATCGTCATGGTGAAACACGATGTGATTCTTTTTGCGAGGTCGTTTCACTTTAATAGCGGCTTCCAAACGATCGAGTTGAGCTGAATAGACGTCGCTGTTAATGTTGTACTGCTTTTTTCCGTTTCTGTCAGGAATAGGCCATTCATGTTTCACATCGTTGTCGTCTCACCAGTAACAAAAACTTTCTTGGCGAACTTGAGTAATGATTTCCCAGTGAATAATTCCTGAGCGGTCCCACCATACACACCACATGGCCTTCTTGCAGTGCAAATTTCGTGGAATACCTTTCGAGGATTGGCCACGGTTAACGCACACCTTCTTTCCTTGACGTTTTTGAAGAGTAACCATGACTCATCTCCGGTGACGAAGAACTGAAGAAATGGATTTTGGTCGTTTCGCTGAAGCAATTGGTTGAAGATGCGCACTCGCTCGGTCTTGTTATGATCGGAGAGTTCATGAGGGACCCACCCAGCAAGTTTCCATACTTTCCCTAAGTCTCTAAGCCGTCTAACAATGGTTGAATGGTCGCAATTGAATTGCTCGGCCAACATTCGCGTAATCAAACTTTCATCCCCTTCCACCGCTTGCAGAAGAGCTTGATCATCAAAATTAGACAAACGACCTCTTCCTTCTTCATCTTCTAAGCTTGTGTTGCCGGATTTAAAACTTTCAAACCATCTTCGGACCTGTCTTTCACCGATTGTTCCTTGGCCGAAGAGTTCGTTGAGATCACGCCATGCCTCGGCGGCAGTATGACCTTTCTCGAAGTGGTAGAGCATAATATGACGTATATGAACGTGGTTATCAACACGCATTCTTACTAATAAATGTAGGCGATACTATCTGAAAAAAAGTGGAGACGAAGTGTCAGATTAAAAAGGTTAAAAAGACGGTAATAAAAACGGTCGTTAATTATGCATGAACCCAATATATACCTTTTATATCATATAATCGTTCTTTTTCTTTTTTTTATTATTATCGTCAAGATATAAATCGATATCGACTAATAAATAGCCACATTTTATTAACTATATACGTTATATAAATATTTTTTCTTTTTAAGAATGATAGAAAAAAGCATAAATTATCCTGAAAAAAAATTTGAAATCCAAAATTATATTTATGATTCAACAACATGGAATAATTTTAAATTTCGTGATGATGATATAATAATAGTTACATATCCAAAATCTGGTACAACATGGACACAACAAATAGTTAGTCAATTAATATTTAATGGAAAAGAAAATTTAAATATATATAATATGTCATTATGTCTTGATTTACGTCCACAAATAGAATTATATGGTACGAAAGATAATTTATATAAAACATTAGAAAAACAAACACATCGTCGATTTCTTAAATCACATTTACCTATTGATGCATTAGTTTTTTCATCAAAACCAAAATATATATGTGTTATTCGCGATGGACGTGATGTTGCATGTAGTTTTTATAGTCATCTTAGTCATATTATATATGATGGAGTAGAAAGACCAAAATCAATTCATGAAGTTTTTCAAAAATACATATTAGAACAAGTAACGCTCGTCGAGGCAGACTCGCTTGACCCTCGACTGAACAGTCATATTGAATTACGCTCTCTGTTAACGAGATCATTAAAAATAATTTGAATGCATTGTTTTTGTCTGTGACTCATCATTCTATGTCGAAGTCACTTTCATACCAATTTCAAAGAATGTACTGATTTAAGCTACAGCTGAGAAGGTTTATTCACAAAACTTTCACAAATAAGTNGGATACGTATATATATTGCGTCCGTTTAGAAAAAAGTATAATACACTGAACTACGATCAATTAGACTGAATTTTCTCTTTATTATTGTTAAATGCCCAAATAAAAACTGACGTTTTTTTTCCCTTATTACTAAAAAATTAATTTAATACTGGTATTTAATGAATTAATTATTACTCATTCCGTAGTACTAAATAGCTCAAAAAAGAATTTATTATTGTTCAAAGATTATTGCTCATTTGTAGTTTTTATTCATGCTCATTTAAGTATTTTTATTGCTCAAATAAATACTAGCCATTGGAATTTCGAGAAACTAACCTCGGATTCGTGATCCTCGACCTCGATTACCCTAGCAGTAATCATTTTCTGACAACTATCGATCAATTTCATTGATTTTAGAAATGCTGATTTCTGATTGGATAGGACAGACAGACAGACAGACAGACAGACAGACAGACAGACAGACAGACAATCTTTAAGCTTTTTAACACAGCATTTAAATGCTGTATAACCCTTTGTTTCAGAAAAGAGAATAACATACAACAGAATGGACAAGCTGATATGAAAAATCACTTGTAGGTTGATTGTATCTATCATTTTCCTAGAAAAAATCCAGTGCTAATCAATATAATAGATGCAACTAGGTACGCACCGAACCCTGTAACTTTGTGTGAAAGATTACTTATTTTCGGTAGTAAAAACGTCTGAACCCTGCCGAACTTTAATGTCAGATATCGGCAGGGATTCGGTGAAATTTTTCCCCACATTTTTGCCGAATTCCGCCGAACCTTCTGACAATTTTTAAAATTTGATTGAAACAAGCACTATTTTCAGATAGAAAAGATCACACTGACGATATCTGATAGCGAAGCTCGCTAGAGTTCAGAGTTTTTAATATTGAAAATATATAATCTTTGATGCAAAGCTATAGAGTTCAGTGTAAGCCTAGATGCAGCACGTAAATATTCTCCATAATTATAATTCATGGTTGACTATCATCAACGTCAATGTTTCTAGTTGTCCACTCTAAAAAAATCCGGCGTTTAATCAACCCTCAAAAATGGTTTATGACTGCAAAATTTGTTCATCAACCTGATCTACCCCTAGATCAACCCTTTTTCCATTGATCAGGTTCATCAACCATCAGTCAAGAGTTTGTCATCACTTATAGGAAACACGTCATTTTAGGATTGATGAACCTGATCAATGGAAAAAGGGTTTATCAATAGAGAATAAACCCTTGGGTTTATCAGTTTGCAACGTATATCAAACCCTTCGTGGGTTTCTGAAGAAAAAAGGGTTGATCTAGGGGTCGATCAGGTTGATGAACAAATTTTTCAGTCATAAACCATTTTTGAGGATTGATTAAACACCGGATTTTTTTCAATGTCGTTGATCTTTTAAAACGTAGGCTAATGTATCGACGAACGTTAGAATTGAAGACTGGCGTGTATCTGTTCTTTCATCTCAGAATGTTGCACCACCCACTGAATCCAACTTTTCCTACCTCAAAACTGAGAGAATGCAGTTGCTTTATTCAGAAAAAAATCATAGTAGAAAATGCTCATATGAGTGAGAAAACAAAGCCAAACGACAAAAAATAAAAAATATGAGAAAAGAAAAATCAGGAATGCCAGATGGAAAAAATATACAGAACAGCATTTGATAATGACAAAGCGGTACAAGGGCGAGCAGAAATGATTAACATATGGGCGTAAAAAAGACTTTTTAACAAGTTTAATCTGCATCAATTTATCGCTGTTCTTTTTAGCTCTACAATGGGTTTGATGACAAAGATCGAAAATGATATTTATTGGGTAGATCCATGGGGTCCCTACCACGTTTTGGAAAAGAAGATTTTTTCGATTTTTTTTCGCTCAATATGCCGAAGTGGTCTAGAAACCACTTTTGGTGAAAAAGAAATGGGTCCCTTTCTATTGAAAATTTCGAGTTCTAGGTCGTTTTTTCGGAACTTGCCCTGGTATATCGTCATATATACCGAAAATGTCAGAAAAAAAACACGAAACGTCTCCAAAGACAACTTCTCAGGCAATTTTTTATGCTGAAAAAGTGGAAATATTCTAGAAAAAAAATTCACGAAAAAGAACAGGTCCCCCATACCGAAAATATCGGATTTTGGGTAATTTTTCTTCGAATATGACAACTAGCAGATTTGCAAATCGAATAGCAGCCATTTGATTCAAGGAATTTATTCTTTTGTGAACAGATTTTAAAGCTTTGTTAAACTGATGAATTTCCTTAGGTAAAGCGGAAGAAACACCACTATACAGTGGTAAATATGGAAGATGATAATCTGGAAGAATAGAGCAATCTTAAAGAGACGAGTTTTAGAATGAATCGTGAGGCCATCTTTAGACTTGACGTCGTTTGTACAAGCTACGGGATTTCGAACGAATGATATTTCAACATGATTCATCGGATATGAGAGAGAAGATTGTCCACCAGTACTTTTCTTTTTTTCAAATCTTTTCCCAATGCTGAAACGAAAGTGTTGTGAACATCCGGAAAACATTGCAAATTCTACTCGTGTACCAAAAGGAACAATAGGCGTATCGTTACAGCTATCAAAATTTTTGGTTCCTCGATATAATAGGACGGAGACCCGAACGCGCTGGATGTCCAAGATGCCATGTTGTTGAATCGGAGGAAATGACTACATTAAAGAACTGCGTGAAAAGTCGACGGATAAAACGTTTCTCGTGGCTCAGATCGACTTCTCAATGAATTTTACCTTAATACGCCAACGTGAAGTTCAACAAGGATTTTTTAGTCAACGTCAAGTTACTTTGTTCACAATCCATTTGACAGTTGGCCGAGAGCAACGAAACGTAGCGATCATCAGTGACTATATGGAACATATAACATCGTTTGTTTACTGTGCACAACAAATTCTCGTCCGATTCATCAAAAAGAACTTCCCATTGGTGAAAAAGATCAGTTATGTTAGATAGATTTTCGTTTTTCTACACACCGAAAATTTTTATTAGGGTAGACACATTCTGTGAACAGTATTCTTTTGTTTAGCGACGGTGCTAGTGGACACTTCAAGAACAACGTTAACATTTGCAACTTAATTCATCACAAGATCGACTTTGAATTAGTAGCTTCTTGGACATTCACTTCCACCGGACACGGAAAGTCTGCAGGGAACGGAATTGGTGCTACACTGTCGAAGAATATTCTGTTGTCTATCGCAAAAGATTTCTTTGAATTCTCCCAGAAACAACAACTCGAAATAGCCAAAAAATCAAATAGAGACAATCCTGCTGTTGATGTGTTCAATCTCGAGGCAGATGAAATTGAAAAGGTTAAAAACAATATTCTTAACTCCAGATTTGAAAAACTTCAGGCATTACGTAAGAAGATATATTTGATTGATTTTTCATAACCGTACTTATTTAGACAAAATACAAGGGATTCGGGGGCTGCATGAATTTCAACCGATTAGTGATACAACGGTTCAATGTCGTTCGACATCTCTATCAACAAAGATCAAAACACACTCATTTAAATAAAATCTCTTTCGTACCTCTTCAACCCAATAAATTTTCAAATAAACTTTGTTATTAAAACTCAGCGTTAAACCACAGTTAAAAAGTCTCTCAATTTCATCGCTTAGAAAGGCATCAATTTGAACATTCCACTTCATCAACTACCGGTATAAGAGCTTTCTGTAATTAGAATCGTAGAAATCTGTTCACAAAAGAATAAATTCCTTGAATCAAATGGCTGCTATTCGATTTGCAAATCTGCTAGTTGTCATATTCGAAGAAAAATTACCCAAAATCCGATATTTTCGGTATGGGGGACCTGTTCTTTTTCGTGAATTTTTTTTCTAGAATATTTCCACTTTTTCAGCATAAAAAATTGCCTGAGAAGTTGTCTTTGGAGACGTTTCGTGTTTTTTTCTGACATTTTCGGTATATATGACGATATACCAGGGCAAGTTCCGAAAAAACGACCTAGAACTCGAAATTTTCAATAGAAAGGGACCCATTTCTTTTTCACCAAAAGTGATTTCTAGACCACTTCGGCATATTGAGTGAAAAAAAATCGAAAACAACTTCTTTTCCAAAACGTGGTAGGAACCCCATGGATCTACCCAGATACTAGTTTAATGATACTTTATTAATAAAAAAAGAAAAAGTAAACTGCAACATGAAGAAACATAACACTGGCTCTCAACTACACCTGCACTCCTACTTCTTTCAACCTTCTTATTTAATGACTAGACTGGATGACTCTTTCGCGTTGATTAGCTGATAATTCAGCTTTCGCATTAGTTAACATTTAATCGCCGGTCTTCTTGCAGACGAGCTTTTCCTTTCCGTCAATTTCGATACGAAAGTAAGAGTTGGTTAGTGAAGGCAGGAACGTATCAAATACTCTTATTCCATTAAACTCAGATTTATCACTTGCTGAAAATGAAACCAAACTATCTTCGTGATCAGGCGAATCATGTTCTTACAGATTCATTCACTAACTAATTAGCATCAGACTCGCCACGGTTCGATTCATCGTATTCATCGTCAGTCAGTTGATTCTCATCTCCTTCGTATTCAACACCTTTGAATTTCTTTTGACATTCATCACGTTGAAATAAAGACTTGATTAATGTTAATTTGTTTTCTTTGTCTCTAGAGGAATGTCAATATTAACTTTTGGGAAAAAACTAATTGCGTTATCGACAGCTTGATTAATATTTTTTCTATATTGTCATGAAAAAGATTAATAGGTAATAAAACAGAAACTAGTTTTTTTCAAAATAGTGTTATTTCAGCGTCGTTTATAATGTTTCGGACACTGGAACGGACAGTTGATTTGACCGAACTGACTTCAATTTTCAAGATCAGTTAGA